ATCGACGGAGCTGCCTAAAGGTGAAGCATATCTAATCAATTCACCCCAATATAATACCTGAGACCTTTATTTGAATACCATGAATATTTATGCGGATATTCCATAAAACAAAATTGCCTTAAAGGTTATCCAAAGTTCAGCAAAATCTCATTCGCTGAATATTTTTCCCAGAAAGAGTTTCCGAAAGAAAAAGACTTGAGTTTAAACTAGAAAGCTCTTCTTTACACTAAGAAACAAATACAGCCATATTTTCAAGGTTGTTGACAAGCAAGAAAGAAGCAGGGTCACAAGATATCGACTGCGTCTTTTACCACAACTCATTCAATTTTTTTGTTTCTTTTAAACCTTGAAGGAACTTCTACTGGGATGGATGAATATCGAAGTCAAAATGCTTGCCTTTTCGCGACTGTAATAGACTTTAGTATGGAGGAAAACCAACTTGTTTACATTTCCAATGTAATGACCTGCATTTTCAACGCGTTATTCGCCGTTCCAGCCATCGTTGGAAATATACTAGTTGTGTTAGCGATATGGAAAACACATCTGGCTCGTTCTCCGTCAAACATCTTACTGTCCACGCTGGCGTTCGCCGATCTTCAAGTTGGCTTGATCGTTCAGACACTTTTCGTTTGTCACAAGATGGCTGAAATCTTCAAAGCTGAAGAGCTGTCTTGTTACGCTCGCTTTGTGTATATTGTGTTTGGTTACTGTATTACTGCAGTTTCTCTTCTCACGCTAACTGCCATCGCTCTGGAACGATTTTTGGCATTGCATCTACATTTGCGTTATAAAGAAGTAGTAACAAAAAAACGGATTTTAATAGCGGCCTGTTCTTTCTGGGTGCTGGGAATAACAGTGACTTCCCTATATTTTATACAGAGGAGCGTGTTTGGCTCAATTGTGATAGCCTCTGAAATATTATCCATCGTGATAACCTCTGTGGCATACATCAAAATTTACAAAATAGTGCGTCGTCATGCCAGAGAAATACAATGTCAAAGACGATTTGATCCTGGAACGCAGGTCGAATTAAACATGAAAAAATACCAGCGTTCGACGTTCACAATGGTGATTGTATTTATGCTATCGTTTGTCTGCTATGTTCCTTATTCTTTGGTGATGGTGGCCAAACTCAAATACGGATTTACAGTACCGGTGAAAGTTGCAACTGATGTATTTTCGACTGTGGTTTGTATCAACAGCTCTCTGAATCCGTTTATATATTGCTGGAGAATGAAAGAAATTAAGCAGGCCGTCTGGGCGGTGATCAAACGAAATACTGGGGTTAATCCCGGAGCCACCGAACAAAGCATGATGACTTTCAATCCATTACCACCCAAAAGGCTGGATTATGGCTCTGGCTGTAAAACGGTTTCCGAAGCACCACATGAGAGTGTCAAGTAACGCGAAAAAAAAAAAGGAAGAAAAATTTATAAAATCATATCTTTTAAATTCAGAATTATGCGGAGTGCAGTTTCTGTACGAAGAATCATGGCTTAAATTGTCAGAACAAGGGAAATTAAGGCAATATAAGTGAACAAATAACATCAGTGGCAGTGAATGTAAGAGAATCGTAAGCTCCATAACTATTTACCGAATATTCCAACTCATTGACAAACTTATGAGAACTTTGATGCAAGTTCGGGATAAATGGAGATTGTACCCGCCGGCGGGCAGATCAAATAATCTTTTTTTTTTTTATTTTTATCTACAACAGCCAACGGCAAATGGTTCATTTTATCTCATACGATGCTTTGCATTCAGTTTAATCTCCTTTAATTTAGTCACCCAGTTGTCTAATATATCACACACAGGCTTGCTGTTGTTAAAATATAAATACTAATTTAAGAAAATTAAGAAAAAAAAAGGCTGCCAGTCTTTCGAAAAAGCCGCTGTCTTTAATGTTTCAATTGTTTTTCATAGTTTCGCCAGAATATGGCATACAGGAAATGACCCAAAGATTCGTTTGTTTGAAACTTTACAGAAATTATCTATCGATCGATTTAGTGTCTTATTTCATCCTCGCAACAAAAATTGTGTTTCCTCAAAGATGGTTTTTTCGTCTGAAAAAAGCATTTTCATTCTAAGTCTAAGAAATGGCCGAACTTTTAGAATTAAAAAATGGTTTGCAATGAATTTTCCCTGTGGGCGAAAGAAATGAGTCATGTTTATTACAAGATTTGCTAGGGGACATTTAAATTAATTAAAAAAGGTAATGCAGAATTGTCAGGTCAAAACAAAGGAAGCCGAAACGCTCAAAGAGATTTTTCCAATATTTCACAAAAGCTTATGTTTAAAAAGGGTGATTTGACATTTTATACCAGTGAATGAGGCTAACATATCTTATATGAAATGATATCGACAGTGACAGGTTTACTTCGATGTCATCCAACTCACTTAAGCTATCCTTCATTTGATCAGCATCGGGTCTGATGCTAGTTTACAAATTCTGCATTACGTGCTTTTCCTAAAAAACAGTTGTTTGGGAAAGTTTTAGGTAAGCCTTCTTCACATACAGTGAAAGGTTAAATAGCACTGAAAATGATGATTTAGTAATTTTCCCTAAATCGTCTACCTAGTCATTTCATATTCACCACCTGCGAGTCAATTCTTTGTTGTCCTAAAACTCTCTTAACTGAAGGCTTTGCCTTTTCACTCACAATTCATTCTACTCCATCGGTATCCAAGAGACATTATCTGCAGTTAAAGGCAATGATTACCTTGTTACGGGTTTTTCTTGGCCTGATTTACAACACTGAGAATCTTGCATTAATCTAAATTATTGTAACGATGAAGTGGTCTAATTTGATTATAAGATAACATCTAGACATTTGTGGTTAAGTTATTAAGATCTGTCAAGGTAAAGAACGCTTTTCATCTTAAAATCGAGCACATATTTTCTGCATTTTTTTTTACCTATGTTAATTCAAACGACCCAAAAATACTATTCTGAAAAGGATAATTTTTTTTTAACCTTCGCCCAGTATCTTGTCTGGCCTAGTCTTCTTGGTGAGATAGACTTTTTATATTCTACTCTGTTGTTCTGAATTCCTCATAAGCGAAAAAAGAATTCAGCAGTTTAATAAATTTGTATCAAAACATATGGCTAATTACCACTGCGTCACTACGTACGTGTTGTTTGAAGAGCAGACCCGTTCTCAAAAAATCATGATAGGACAAGCTAAGCCCACTGTCACATCCCATGTTTAAGCTTGACAAACTAAAAATTAATAACAGCTTAAATCTACAGAAAACTGAGAAATCCTTAGAAAAACAAGAGATTTTATATGATTTTACGCGTTTCGAGGTCAAGACGACAATGATTGGCAAAGATTTTCTTGGTGGGGAACCACGACTGCTTAGAGTTACCGGTATGCTAAAACCAAGTGTCGATTGCGAGGTGGGAATGATACAGTAATCACATGCAGCCTCTTGAAACAACCACCTGCTTTAGGGAGACACTAAAGAAGCATCATATTAGGCTGTTTTAAAGAATCTGATTGACTTGCTAATTGCATTTTACAACGTTTGTTTATTTACTGATGACGCAAAAGACAAATTAAATTTCTCAATAAGTTCGACTAGAAATTCATTCCCCATAACATTACGATACGACGTTGGGTCGCTTTAGTTTCTGGTTAGAAATTGTTTTACTCAAAGTGACTCATTCAACAAATGCTCCTTCTTTTTGTAAGTCCAGGTATTATTTTTTTTCCCCTAAAGATCTGAATTGAAGCTTATACAGGCTGGTTTATGTTAAGTGTTTAAAGATTGCTTGCACATTCGCCATAATTCCTTCCTTCCTTCCTTCTTCCGGCCCCTTTCAAATATTTCTAGATCCGTCCCTGACGGTAATATCAACTTAAAACTTATAATTTTTAAACGTATCTCAGCTAATATGACATCAACTTCGTCTGTCTAGGCGATCAATGGGTAACTTTAATAGGAGCGTGGATCTGGTTACAAGGTAACCAGGCCCGTTCTTCCCTTTCTCTTCCCAGCCCTCCGAATACTAAACTCCCTTCACTGTAGTGCCGAATATCGGTCAAAATAAACGTATTTCAACTTTGCTACCGCCATCTGTTTATGGATGTTATGGCAGCTAACTTTTCGTGCGTAGTCAACAACTGGCGCTAGTTATGTACGTGCAATGCCTTTGTACAGTGGAGAGGTGTACCTCGTAATGTTACAACTTCATTAAAGAATATGGAATCCTTCATTCACTCACGCCCTTAAAAACACTCTGAACCGAGGGTGTAGGTTAGACGAGCTGCTATAAATGTCTCAGTATCGCTATAGATTTTACACAGAAACTGTCGGCCAGTAGATTTCCGCGGAGTTGCATGTTTGAGACGTCGTTAACATTTATCAAAATTTCAACCCCAGGAACTTTTAGGCTACCCAAATAGCTAATATAGTTAGTCTCAATAACCACTTTCCAGTCTCAATTTTATGCAAGCTAAGTTGAGGGAAACAAACATGATGCAAACAACTTCAAACAACGGTGTCTACTTTAACTTTGGAACCATCGACTTTTGAAGAGAAATTATTATCCAATGCAAGAGTCTTACAGCTTCAGCTAACCTTAAATTACGTCTTCTTTTGATCGAAAAAGCAGTGAACGAATCGCGATTTTTAAAAGAATCACGAAGTCTCAAATTTGTAGCACACGTTTCGATGACGAAACGAGTATTTCACTTTCCTAAAAAAGATAGGAAAAACTGTTTGAATCTATACTAACCTCGAGAAACAAGCACTATGTAGTGGATGCTACACGGTGGCGAGTGGTTATGAATTTTATGTTCGAGTGACAAGATATTGTCAGTGGCAAGATATTGTCAGTTGCCACAGGAACACATAAATCATATCTCCGAACTAAGGTTAAATTTTTCTTTATTTCATAAACAATAGGCGGCCATTATTCCAATCAACGATCAAACCAAGTTCATTCAGCAAAGTTTGAAGAAGGCTGCAACGGTGACGTCGTTACTCAATATGACCACTCGTGTTACATACGAAAAAAGTGTCATCCAGTTACCAGATGTCGTGGTGGTGTTGACTTCACAAGAGAATTAAGGAACGGTCAATTTGAATCACCTGGTGGGCTGTAGGATTTTGTTTGTGTCACGATCAAATCTACCCGATCCCCCCCATCTCTGTAATATCCAAATGCCCCCCCCTCCTTTACTGGCAGTTAATTGGTAGTCAATTTCTTAAGTCCTCCCCCCCTCAACTCGCCCATCTTTATACTCTGTTGGTGACGACTGATCCAGCCCCCGTTCCCCCTAAAACCTTATGATCCCCCCACAGTACATTCCTCTTCTTCCCATCCCCCCGCAGGCGTCAAATAATGACTGTTCATTAAGAACGTGAGTGTTACGTTGCCATCTTTTTAGACCAGTCACGACCAACAAGTTAACCACAAAAACCTTGCAATTATTACCCTTTCTACACTGTTCCCAAATGCGTTCGTGGTTTTTCCTTTTGTTATTTATTTGTGTTGTAATCATATTTAATTATGCATGTTTCTCGTTTTTTTTTGAAAAATTCAAGTAGTTTTTCATATGAGGGGTTCGACGTGAATGACTCTCCGTTGATGAAAAATAAAAAACCTTTCGTTTAACTAATAATCTGATCGGAGAATGACTCTTGCGATAAACTGACAGATTATTTCTTTTGTTCAATCATTTTGGCAAGACAACGTTTATCAAACTGAAAACACAAATCAGATAATACTGCGTGAAAAAACTCAGATGTAAGTCGAAGAAATTTATATAGCATTAGAACTTCGATAACACCAGACCCGATTGACTTAAAGATTTTTCTCTGACACTCCGAAACTTAGATTGTTGCATTTTTTTAATTCGAAAGCAATTTTCATGAGCATTTACCTAATTGTCTTTTCCTCCGCTGATATTCTCTTAGTGTAACATGAATGCGACCTACAATTTGTTCCTGAAAGCGGAAATTTTACTGAAAGTAAATAAAATTGAGGCTCTTGTTTCCTGGGTAATTAAATTTCGCCTTCTGATTCAAAGAAAGTGTACGTAATACGATGTTTAATCTGTTTATTTAAGCATCACGTTTCAACTTTCTCGTTCTCTTTTTAAAAAATAAGCCAGTGTATTGTGCGAAACCTTGTAACATCGAAATCGCCCATCTAAAGAGATCACGTTCAGTTAGCAGTTCTACATACGAAAATGAACTCTTCTTGTTCAAACTTTGATATCAACTTTGACACCGAAGCCTTGTATACCACAAACATCGTTACAGCGGTTGTTAATTCTGTGTTTTCCCTTACGGCTGTAATTGGAAATCTTCTCATCATTATGGCATATCAAAGAACACCTTCTCTTCACTGTCCAGCCAATACGCTCCTCTGTTGTTTAGCCTTAGCTGATTTTACCGTAGGACTTTTTGCGCAGCCAAGTTTCATCGCTCATAAAATAGGTGAGATTCAACGTAATTTCGACATATATTGTGCCACTAGGATTATTACAGAGACTTCAGGATATATCGCTAGTGGTGTATCAATTCTGACACTAACAGCAATAAGCATCGAACGCTACTTCGCGGTGTATTTTCACCTCCGATACAACGAAATTGTGACCAATTTCCGAACCTTAGTGACAGTGGGCTTCCTGTGGTCCACAATGACTCTCGTAGCGGGTGCAAGATTTTTAATGAAAGACGGGAAGAAGTTCAACACGATAACAATTCCTATTTTGTTTTCAAGTTTAATCATTACAATCTGGTCGTACTCCAGGATCTACACGCAAGTCAAACGACATCATCGATGTATCCAAGATCAGGAAAAATCCGTGAGAATCATGGGAATCGCGAGATGCAGAAAGTCTATAGTTACCATGATTTACATCCTTGGGTTATTCATTCTTTCGAATGCGCCTATGATCGCTGTTGTTATTACTCACAAAGTTACTGGTTATACAAGACCTGTAAAAGAGGCTTATATCTATGTCTCTACCATTGTTTTTGTGTGTAGCTCCATAAATCCGATGATTTATTGTTGGAGAATTCCTGAGATTCGACGAGCAGTTCTTAAGATCATAAAAATCGTATTTTGCCTGCAAGCTCAAACTGGAAGCATGATGAAAAACCCTGCCTTGCCTGTTAGAGTGAAAGAATTTCAATATTGGTCAAGATCTAAAGTAGTATCACTCATTTAGGGACTGGTCATAATTTTTCGATTTATCGTCGGGGAGGGGGGTTTGGAGGATTTTGCTTGTCTCGCGATAAATTTTACCTGATGCCCCTTAAGGATCTGTATTTTTACGATCGTCCCCCTCCCCCCTCATTAGCGGTTCATTGGCAGTAAATTTTGTATAGTTCTCTCTGTTGGCGACGACTGATCGATATCATCCCTCCTCCCCCTGAAAAACATGTGATCCCCTCAAATCCTCCACCCCCATCCCCAGGGCGATTAATAATTACTAGTTCTTCATCTATGTATGCGTAATGCATCTTCTGATATTAATAATGACTTATCCATCCACAAGAAATACGGTTTGACATACGTCTTGTTTTAGAAAAGGACGGCTTCCTTGCCGAGAATTTGAAGACAACGATCGAAGGAGAAGTAAGCTCAATAACGATATATTTCAATCTCTCAGAACTTTGATTCAAACGAAACACCTAACCTCTTGTTTTGTCATCAAACGCTCTTTAGAATTGAGACATTGAACGCCGCCACTTTGAATCCTGCTTAGCGACCTAGCTCCTATTATGACGTAACATTACTTTCTTCCTACATGTATTTCTCAACCATCCGGTTGATCAATTATTGTTTTTACACAAATATATTTTTACTCACCGGAAACGATGGTTTTTAGTGAAAACTAGTGGTGAAAGAACTATCACAAATTCTAATCAAGGTCAAAAACTAACGATGCTGACAGCCAATTCATTCATAAAAGTAGATCTCAAGATCTCTTGCACCTTGTCGACTCTTGTCAAACTTGGCTGCATTTGTTCAGTTTTTTTCTACTGAATTTCATTCTTGACGACTTTTTTAAGTTATTTCTGGTTTAATCTGAGCTACACGAGTGATCTGACCGCGAACTGGTAAATGTGGGGGTGGTGTTAAAAAATTGGGTGACATGACTCTTGCTTTTGGGCGACATGAATAGAACTTTCGGGCCACATGACATTTGGCGATATGACTTTTGGGTCACTTGACTGTAAACCGTGGGGGCGAACTCGTTTTGCATAAGGGGGCGAACTTACAACGGGGCTAATTCTCCAATTATCTTTGCAGTCATGTAATACGTAAGCATTGCGGACGTATACTTCACTGTATGATTTGTTCCCAGTCCTCCTTTTGTTGCCAAGGGTTTTTTTTAAGAGTTTCCGCGTTTTAAGTGAAAGTGAAGAACTTTGCCGCTTCCTTAAGGTGAGAAAAGTAATTCTTAAAAAATGCACGCATGTGGTAGTCATGGATTTGAAATACTGTCAAAAGAATCCGTGATCACATGAAAATGTACTAAATGTATAAATTAGCTCTTCGTTCTAGAACAATTAGCCAACCGATGCAATTTAACATGGCTTGATATCACGATAAATGCGCCAGGTTGTTTATGTTAGGTTAATTGTAGCTCACTTAAAGTATTTTATTTTCATTTTGATGGCTGCGATAAATGAGGATTCTCAAGAAACTTTAATGTATAAGGGTTATTTGAGCGAAGAAGAGCGTCTCTGCATTGTGTTCGATGTTGATAACATTCGCTTCGGTGAATTTTGCGACTGTAAAAATGAAAACCATTTACAAAATTCATAACGAGTGCTCAGTGGGACAAGTCTTGATTGTTGAAAACAGAAATGAGCGATACTATTTTACCAAAAATGAGATTATACTATTGGCAATGTTTGCATTTACTGTGTAAAGCTTTTGAGAAAACATTAGTAATTATAATATAGCTGACAATTGTGTTAATGTATTCCGCTCTCATTGTTTTAGACAGACCTCGCCACACGATCTTCACACTGTTTGGCAAACATTGCACGTAATTCGCCTTGTTTTGTGCTTTTACTCGAAGGTGACATTTTTCAAGCAATGAAACTTTTCATTTTCGATAGATGTGAAATGTGGTTTAAATTCAAAATTACACGTATCCGAATAGACCACGAAAATATACCACTTTTAAATCGTCTAACTCTTTGACAAGCGTAAACCGCGAAGACTCGATGGGTATTTAAAATTTTTATGATTAAAAAATAAGCGAGATAAATGCAATATCTTAAAAATTGTCGAAGACTGCCTTTCTCTAAACAGATAAATTCTACTGTTTTATTATAAGTGTTCGCTTATTTCGGTTAGTTTGCGTGGGTTTTATATGTAAATTATGTGGAACCATACACTAATGCACTATCTGTATTCGGTTACCTTTTATGGTTGTTAGGAACTTAGTTTTAAAATAATTCAGGTTCTTAGATAATACCAAGTGAGGTTAATATTGTAATTGCATGTCTTCCTCTAAGGGCTTTGTTATTTTTCAAGTTTATTTGTTATTTTGATTACTTGCTGATGTGGAGATAGATGGACGACCAAATAAAAAAAATGGGAACCCAAAATTCAAGATGAGCAGGCCTTGATTGATTTTTAGCTGAAGTTGTTCTAAGATCCAAGATGAAACATACCTCAGGCTCCAACTTCTGTAGCAAAATAATTATTTTTCAGGCCTCAATACTGGGAGTGTTTAAACATGTTTACATGCAGACTAAACATTATCCAAAAAAAGCATTGGAGAGCACAATTTGTGGTGCCCACAATGTGAGTCTTGTTTGAGGCTTATATGCACAATTTTAAAACTAACTTTTGCAATGATGATACTTTATTTTTAAGAATGTCATGGGCTTGGCTGGGCCCAGTAGAGAAAGACAAAAAATTGATGGTCAAAGTTACTGATAACAGCTAACATGGCAACTTGTGATGGAAGTACTGCAACTTTGGAGAACCTTGGTCAGGGACTCTTTGGCATTCAATTGGAGGTGAATTACATTATTTATACCACTGATGATATTTCTTTTATAGTTATGAAGAAAATTTTTCGTTGTTTAATATAAAATGAGTTAATTTGCACTGACCTTTGTTAGGTGACTGAAAAATTGCTGGAAGCAGAGAAGAAGAAACTAACTCAGTTAGAGCTACAGCTTGTTGAAGAATCAGGAAGTGGAATAAGTGGTGTTGAGAAGGTAAGTTTAACTTAGGATAAATGAATAAAGGGGGGTAAGTTTCAAAACAATCTGTGGTGCTCTATTGGCAGGGGGGATACAAGATAATTTGGCTTTATCAACTGAGCTGATGATGTAAATTGGCTACCCTAAAATCAGTTTCTAATGCTGACACTTAAGAGGGTAAGCCTTCGGTCAGAGCAAAATATTATGTTAATTGGTATGGGTAAAGTCAGTTTCTAGAGCTGACATTTTAAGCATTAGCACCTTGTCAGAGCAAAAGATAATGTAAATTGGCCACTGTGCAGAGTTTCCTCGGCTGATGTTTCCAGCATCAGCCCTTTGTCTTTCGCTCCGAGGAAGGGTTAAGGCATTGAACATCGGCTTTCAAAACCCTTTATGCCAGCCAATTTATATCATTAACTCAGTTGATAAGGTCAAATTATCAAGTTTAAGGTAACCCTGTGCTGAATCTCCTTGCAGTTTTTTAAATCCAAGCGACCCAGAGATTTCGGTCGAAAAATAATTTTCTTGCTGTTCTGGATAGATCGTTTTATTTGAAGTTTTTTCAAAGAGTAAAAGCAGTACCTATGATTCTTTTTCTTTTTTTTTTCTTTTTTTTTTTACAGGAAAAAGAGTTAACCCGCCAAAAATCAAACTATGCGTAAGTAAAGTTCAAATTCAGTATTTATTGGTCTGATTTGGATTTTAGAAGTAACACATCCAAGTGGTGTTTCTTCTTAAATTGCATCATTGACTCTGTAGGTTAAGCTAAAATTTAAAATGTTGATTTTTGTGGATTTGTGCAAACTTGCAGACTGTTGCATAATAATTATTCCTAAAACATACAGGTGTGGACTGTATAGTTAAGCTTTGTATTTTCATCTGTGCAGACGCTTGTCAATACAGCATCACCAGCTTGCCAAAGAATATGAGGAAGCTGCAAGAGGTCTGTTGAGAAGATCAACCAAGCAGAGAAAGGTAATTGTACACCTTAAAATAATTTACTGTGACTTTGTTACTTTAAACATTGTCTATTTTTATCAATTATTTGATCCTTATATTTATCATATTTAAATGTTTTTAAGCCTTTTTATACACTATTATTTTATACTTTGATTTAAAATAAAGAAGGAAATGTGCATGTAGACTGTATTATATTTCAACATAAACAAGGTGATTGTAATTGGGAGGGAAACAGTAAGAAGAACACTGTAATAAATATTCCTCGCCTTTGATTTTATTTTTTTCTCTTTCTGTTGTAGTCTTCAAGAAGTGTTCCATCTCTTGGTTTTAAGCAAACCGTCAAAGCAAGGGTAAATATGCTAGACTTTCATGAGGCATTGTTAAATTTAAACTTATAGCTGTGAGTATTGTTATTAATATTCACATATACTACAAGTAAATCACATGTAGTAGACAGTTAATTGTAGTAAAGTTCTTTTAAGAATTTAATAGTTATTAAGCAAAATGCATCAAATCTCTTCATTGATGAATAGCATGTATTAGCATTATTTTCTATGTTAAGGAAGTTCTTATTTGATCATCATTTAGCAAGGATGATTAAAACAATTTTGATGTTAAACAACCTATCCCCAAATTTTTAACCTGAAAAGTAAATAGTAATCAGGTGAATGAATCTTAGATATGGCTCACTTTGTTTTTTCAGCCTACCATCTTTGGAAATTTGGTGGATGAAGATTGGGAAAATCACAATAGATCTGTAAGAATTCAAATAATTTGAAATTTTAATCATTTTGATATTTACAGGTATACAGAGGCTTGCCTTTTAGTTGCCAAAAATTATGAACTGGTCGCTAAAAATTACCAGTAAAAGGAAACACTTTTTTCAATTGAATCTAATGTATTAAAACTTCTGATCACACCCCTTTTGTAGCAGTATGAATGATATTTATTTTGGGGGGATTTCATCTCATCTCAAGAAATATTAATAAAAGAATAAGTAATAAAAGAAACAAAGAAAAAATATTCTTGACGAAAATGTCAGAGCAGAAGTGATATATTAAGCATCAAATGAAAATGGTTTAAATTATCTCACTGTATAAACTAAGTTATGAAGTTAACACATTATGATTTGTTTCATGACTACCAAACACAGCTGGTTACCAAGAATTATAGACTTACAATACATGTCCAGTTTTATTGCTGCAGAAACTGTAGTTTTCAAGTTGACTGAAGCATTACAGCTTGAAATCAGCTTGCCTATGGATTAACGTTGTGATCAAAACTACATGACGTTTTTTCGTTGACAGAACCTTATATTAAGTACAATATTAAAGCTGAATATTTGTTTTCATCAGTAACAATACAATGTGAGATGAATTACAATGAAACTTCTCTCGGTATAATGCTGAATGTTAATGATATTGATATTGTGATATTGAGAACAAGTAGCACTTGTTAAGTAATTGTTTCTTGATGGGTTAGGGCTCTATTGAATCAGTATTATCACCCTATTCAATACTGACTTGGTTGTTTTGTTTTTCTCTCTCTTAGTCTGTGAAGAAGATCAGTATTACGCCATCAAGAACACCATCTCTCCCTTCAAACCTCTCAGAGGTATGCCTTCAGATTTACATGTGAACTGCTTTTTTTGTCAACCCACAGAGTATCAGATGCAAACCCTACCATAATTAATATATAATTGCTGAGTGTTCTTATGAGTTGTGCCATATTTTTATGAGCCTGTAGGGCAAGTCAAAGTAGATACAACAAGTAATCAGTTATTTTTTTATCCTACTGTTTTTTTTTTCTGCCAAGTCTTCCTGTTTATTTCTCATAAGGCAGGAAAAGCAAAGCAGATAGAGAAGTGAAGCACCTGCTGCCAACTTGTTCAACAGGTTTTTTTACAGTACAAAAAAAAACAACTGTCCATGGCAAATAACTGTACAATAAATTGTAGGATACTTTTACTCTATTTGCGGGTTATTTGTACTCTACTTTGAGTAGTTGGATGATAATAATCAAGTGATATTTTGTATATTCACCTACGCTGTACATCTGGTACTATGGGGGAATATTCTAAAGATTGTTTTTTCTTCAGTCAGTTATTTGTGTTTTTGTAGGATGTTATGTTTGAGGATGGACATATTACAGCTGGTACCCTCAGTGGTCTTATTCAGCTCTTGGTTCCTCTTCCAAATTACTACCCAGATGTAAGCACTGTACTTTTTGTTTTTGCAAAGGCCAATAAATTCCACAAATACTTTTAAAGTAGACTGATCTCCCTCAAATTATCACCAGGGAGAGTGAATTGCAAATACCAACTGTAATGAGAGCTGCTCCATTTTATCACCCATTTGGACTAATTTGCTTTGTTGTTGGGCTGATTGCATATGGTCTTCTTATGGAATTTAAATATCTAAGCTCTCTGGTCGAATTACATGCAGTGACTCCCTAGATGGTGTTGTTTTGCAATGGGGCAAAAGTAAAAACCTTCCTATTGATATGCTGGGAGAGTCATTTATTTGGTCAGATGTGCTTTGATATTTGAATCCCCCTCAAAATATATACTTAAAAGTTAATCCTTTATTAGATGTTCCTGGTAATGACTTTTCAACCCCCAAATCACACATACATGTTGTACAGTTGGGCCACCTGTGGTGTACTGTAATTTTATTTGCAGACTTTATCAAATACTTTACTTCATGTGACGCTTGCAATGAAAGACAAAACTTCGAGGGGTGTCGCTAGGTGTGTTTTCTAAGTGTCGCTGATGTGGGGACTATTTTACCGGTCGTAGTGAAACCACGAAAAACCAAGATGACGATTAACGGTGTTTATTTAGATCGCGATCACGATCGTAAACTGAAATTACAATGATATTATAACGAATGCATGAATCTACTTGAATTGGTGCGAAAGGCATGAAAGAAATGCTTTACATGCCTATGTCAATAACGCGATTAAAATTACAACAATGAACGTGAATTAACATAAACAAATAATAAAAGGCTAAATTAAAACTACTCGAGATTCAAAGATCGGCTACATGATGACCATTTGTGGCTGATTAACAGCCCAAAGACTAAAATGTGGGCGTTGCTGTGTGAGCGTCTAGTTATTTCAAATTACTCTTTTGATTTCAAGATAATTAGTTGTACTATTGTACAACACAGTACATACGTGTGCTATTGCCCAAGGAGAAAAACTAAACTTAAACATATTGAAATAAAACTAACAAAATCACTTACATATCGGTCCCGCTTGTGCCAAAGGTTTGGAAGGAAAGAACGAAGTACTGCTGTTCAAGGTGAAATCTTGCAAAACTCTGGCTTAAAGGGACGCTAACTTAGCTTTTATATGTGCGTGGTGACGCTAAAAGATCCGATTACAAACCAATAGGAAAAAGATAAACATTGTAACTACGATCGTAACTAGGCAAACAAAGTAATTGATAATTGATCTAATCAAAAAACTGTTCTTTTGTTCGATATCCTCAACACTTCAGTTATATAAGTGCACTTTGCAAATGGCAAATTGTAGGAATAGTGTGCTACATGTAAGTATACAATTCTTACAAATGGTCCTTTGCACAGTCATGTGTGAGGTACATGTCATTATTTTTCAAGAGTTTTCAAAGTAAGTAATGGTCTTGCATGTTTTCAACAAATTTATTATACAATAAAATTATATTAATATTTTATTACTACTGCAGTTTAAGTGATATTAAGTTTCTAGTAATCTTATTTTTCTCAGAGGACATATGTGTTTGCATTTCTACTCTGCTCAAGGCTTTTTGTTCTTCCCAGTGAATTGATGTCAAGAGTTTCAAAGGTAAAAAAGAAAGTAATCAATTAGCTCAATGTAGATAGTTAAGTAACTACAGGTAAATGATTGATCTGAATCCATTTGTCTTTGAAATTGTAGTCTTGTGCTGAGCAGATAAAGAAAGCCCCTTCTGAAGAGGTGTGTGATCTGTTGTGTTGAAAAAAGATGATGTTAACATGTAGGTAATGTTAGTTAAAGTGGAACTATGTCCACCAAGTATTGCAAGTTGTCTTTAACTTGAATGTTATATTTTATCTGAATTGTTGTGAGATAATTGATGGGATTAACTTTTCAGCTCTATTATAAATGGTTTTTTTTCTTAGATAATTGATTGGATTACCTTTTCATCTCCATTACAAATGTTTTTTTTGGTTTGATAATTGATGGGATTAACTTTTTTGCTCCATTATAAATGTTTTTTTTTTTTTTTTTGGATAATTGATGGGATTAACTTTTCCGCTCCATTATAAATGTTTTTTTTTTTTTTTTTTGTGATAATTGATGGGGTTAACTTTTCAGCTCCATTTTAAATGCTTTTTTTTTTATCATTCCAATTTCAGACCAAGGTGCTTGCCTTTAATTTGGTGCAACTATTGAGGTAATCTTTCAAACACTTTTTAGAAATAGGGGAAAAGCTCAGTTTCATTCAATATGGTCATTTGAGACAAAATTGTGGTATGAACCCTCACTAATGGCCATTTGAACAGGAGAAGGATAAAAATAAAACTGTCAGTTCTGTTAAGTTTATTATTTAAATTGTGATATTGATTTTTAGTTAACCCTGCAACTCCCAGAAGTGATTAACATGAAACTTCTCCCTATAATATCCACACATTAATCAGCAAATAGGTAATGAGAATATTCAAACTTATCAGGTAGAAGCTGCTGTCTTGATCTAGCACCAAGTTCTCATAACTAGTTTATGAGAAAATGTTAAGCAGCTAGAAAGGAGAATTAACAATCAGATCTTGGGAGTTAACGTGTTAAAGTTCTGTTCTCAGGAGTTCCTTCAAATGGAACAAATGATGACTGGCCCCTTACGGTGTAATTTATCTATACAGTGAATGGACTGAGACATTTCCAAATGACTTTAAAGATGAAGTGATGATGATGCATGTCAAAGACATCACCAGTTACTGTGCATCACTCACTGTGGTATGTCACTGTTTGTTCTTCAAGTTTACCCTCAATATGCAAACTTTTCCCTTCTGTTCTTACTCCTTTATTTGTATTAAATTAAATACAAAACAAAACAAAACAAAAACAATGAAGAGAAAGGTACATGTAATTGAAAGAAAAACATAAAGATAGATTCTTTTGTGAAAGACAATAATAATACCAATGTATTATGAGTTCCTTTTTGTCATCAAAAACTTTGTTTGTTGAAATTTGTGTAAAACAAATTAAAGTAGTTTGAGAAGTAATTTAGGTTGCTCCAATGTCAGTCACTACTTTAGCCAAGAGTACCCTGACACAGACCATCAACAGTGGTCAGTGTTCTGTAACACGATAATGTGATCATTACATTTATTTTCATTTAACTATTTTGGTTACTTGCTTCATAAGGAATTAAGAAGCATGGTTGGACAGATGACTCAGTCCCTCTTTCAGAAGGTGCGCCAAAACTTTTTAATAAAATTTTTGCTTAAGATAGACTTAAATTAAGCACTTTACTGTATCACTGTTAACCCTTTAACTCTCACTGAGGAGTGACCAGGACAGAATTTCTCCTCTCAATATCTATACATTATCAAACAGACAAGTAATGGGAAGAAAGAAAAAATATGGATTTGAGGATTTTTAATTTTTCGAATATCAAATTCTCTGAACCAACATCACAAGATTTGTATGGCAGACAATAAGGAGAATGACTAATGAGATCTCAGGATTGAGAGTGCTATTGTCGCAAGAAACTTAGTACCTTTTCTCTTCCGCAGTGAAAGTCCTCTCTGAGTTCAATTGACTCTTCTAGCTTGAGCTTTTTAAGGGGGTTGCTGAGGAATGAGTCATTTCCATCGAAACTGAGAACTTGACTTTTGATTTAATTTGGCCGATGCCAATGATTTAATTGGATGCTTTTTTTTTTCATTATTAGTGTGTGTTTGATCATTATAGTTTGTGGGACTGAACCTGGCCGGACATTTGTAAAATTCTGTGTTCGATAAGTTTTATTTTAAACCCAAAACGTGATTTGATCATCTGTCACTATTGCAGCTTGCATTGTTGAATAAATATGAAGAGATCCTGTTAAAGGCAACAGCGGCTGCTGAAGACAGAAAGCTGACAGGGTCCACCAAGTACAAAGTATGTTGGCAAAGTTTTTTTTCCGGATCATATTCGATTAAAAGTGAGTGATGTTTGATAAGAAAAAGTGAATATTTGAGTGTTTAACCCTTTGGCCCTTAGGAGTGACCAGCATCTAATTTCTCCTTACAATTTTACCTCTGAGTTAAACATTAAGGTCATGAGAATGAAGGAAAGGATCCAACCAGAGAAGTTCTTGATTGTTAAACTAATTCTCCTTATCCGCACCTTAGGAAAAGTATAGAGAACAGTATGGAGAATATACATATTGATGAAGGGCGTGAGGGGTTAATCGATGTGAGCGCCAGTGGTGAGATGTAACTGCCTTGATACGTTGTTGTTTCCCACAGAGCGTTCTCGAGGTCTGTCCTAATCCAGTGATTATGGCTCAACAGTTGTGTCACATTGAGTTGGTAATTATTACTAAATCAGTCTCGCATTTTTCACTCGTTGAGAATTGTAATAATCTTTGGAATACTGTTATTATACCGTTTTATACTGGGTAACCTATTTCAATGTACCAACAAACTGTTACATTCTATCACAGGAAAGACTTGCTAATATTGGACCAGAGGAGTTTGTGCAAACTTTTATTCCAAGAGATGAAGCGGACTTAAGAGTAAGATTGATCAACTTGTCTGGGAAGCTGTTTATTTATTTTCTTTTTATTGAGTTAACAAGATTAAGTTTTTTTTTTTTTTTCATTTTTCTCTCTTTCAGATCTTCATTTGTCCCTTTCGTTAATGCATTCTCCCATTCGTTTCCTTGATTCATTAATATTTTCCTCTTTCAGTCAACTCTCAGCTATATCAAAAGGACAAGCAACTTAGAAGCCTACATTGAATGGTTCAATCGACTTGGTTATTTAGTGGCAACTGAAGTCTGTTTGGTAATTATAAAATTCTTATGAACTGAGTTTGATCGGGCCGGACGGGAAAATATTTGGCTCCCGGTCATACGGACCTCGTTGTGTTTGGTCTGTTTTCCCGACCTGTCCTCCGACTCGGTCAATAACTACATAATAGTTGTATCCTCATTGGTTCATTTGTAATTGCGTTTTTGCTACTCTATTATACAAATAGATTCCATTTTGCAGTGCGTGTGTTCAGTAATCCATCACAGATGAGGTCAAAATCTGGTTAAAACAACGAAGTGGCACATCACTTGCAGCCGAGTCTGTCACTGATGTTCTTACGAAATTTTGACGTCTTCTGATACCTTTTATTGTTAAGACGCACGTCAATGTGCAGTCTATTTTTTGTGATAAAAAGCTACATTTTGTTAATGGTGACGTCATCTGTGCGTCTGTCCTCTGATAGATCATGCGTAAGAACCAATCAAATTCCGTTTTTGTTTCAGTTTATCATATAAAGATATATTGATTACTTTGTTTAGGGGAACAAAAAGAAAATCAGGGCCAAGATCATTGAATATTTTGTAGACGTGGCTACCGAGTGTTATGACAGAGGAAACTTCAATTCAGCCATGGCCATTATTGGTGAGAAAATGTTTCGTTTGGTGTATTACCTGATGTCCAATACGTAATTTATTTCTGCCTGCGATTACCACGGTATTTTGTTGGGGATGCAATTATACCTGAAAGTTTTCTGAATGTTTTCTTACATGTATAACGAATTATAAATGCAATGATCACAAAACAATGATGATTTTTGAAACGCTGTTTCGATTCACTGATTAGTGAAATATTCAAAACGAACTCATGTATTCCCCTTCATTCTTAGCCGGATTGAACATGAGTCCTGTGACAAGATTAAAAAAGACGGTGAGATTCTTGAATACTTAGTTTTACTTTTTCGGTTTTGACTTCTAACAGCTAGTAATTCCGGATCAATGTCGAGTTTCTTACTTATGATCAAATTTGTTGTGCAGAACTATGGTTATAGCAGAAGAAACAGGGTTGCAAAGTTCTAGTTATCTAGCATCTAATTTCTCCTTACAATATCAGCTCTAAATCAAACATAATGGTGAAGAGAATAAAGGAAATGATCACCAACTGTAAAAGCTCTTGATAATTGAACAAATTCTCCTTTTCAGCGCCTTAGAAAATAAAAAGGGAACAGTATGGTGGATTTGCATTCTGATGTTAGGGTTAATTAACGAAACTTGTGCTCGTTTATAGTGGTCCAGAGTAAAGTGTAGAAAGTTTGACAGACTTGAACGCGAGATGAACCCGGCTTCGAACTTTGCTTGTTATCGAGCGATGTTCAAAATGGCTGTTGAGAGCACCGGGGGTAGGGTGAGTAGCATTTTGTCTTTGTTATGCAAAGAGAGACCAATGGGTTACCTCAACGATGAATCTGAGCAATTGTTCCTGATTTTTTTTGTTTTTTTTTGTTTTTTCAGTTTGAATACTCCATTCCTTTCTTCAGCCTGTTTGTTAAAGATGTTTATTTTCTCAACGAGGGCCACTCAAACAGGTTTGAAATAAGTTTCTTTAATGTGCATAATTCATACTTTTTGCCAACGTGATTTTCGGCGTTATCTACTTTATATGTAATTATTGATCACAACTGGATAGCCAACGGTGCTTTTCTTTCAATATTCCTTCGCAGACTTCCAAATGGACACATAAATTTCGAGGTAGAGACATCATTTGTATCCATTTCTCACCTACCTACTTTCCATAAAGCCTCCTAATCGATAAAAAGTTACTCACAGATTATATATTCAGTACTTTTTCCTTTCACTGTAACGTACAAAGGGTGACGACAGTCGGTGGGAAGATCAACTTTGAAGTTTGCTTACATGTTTATCAAAGTCAATAGCTAAAGATTTTTAAACTCTATACTGTCGTCATTTCTGTCGTTTTCTACTCTCCCCAGTCCCGCTCGTGGTTATCACGGTTGTAAGTTTTTCCTTATTTAATTTAAATTTGCTTTCTGGTTTTGCAGAAATTCTGGCAACTATCAAAACTGATAACAAATTTTGTAACATGGAAGGAAGCAGCTGTAAGTTACTCACTTTTCTTTCTTTATTTTCAAAGAATTCCTTTCCCTTTCTCACTTTTCGACTTCTTCTCTTTGTTCCTTTTTTCTTCCTTCTCCTCTCATTCATCAATTTATTTCTCTTGAATTACTCTATAATTAATTTGAACATTCATTGTCAGAGATATGACTCTCTTGCAAAAGTAATTAATAGAACTATAACTGTGAAGCCATAGAGATGATAGAAATTAGTTTATTCGTATATTTTTTCTATATTCTCAGTGTAAATATGACCGCAGCAGGGCCGTTTTGAATTACTTGATGACTGTCCCAGTGTTGTCTGAAAAGAGTAAGTTATAAATAAAATCTACCTGTTTTTCAGCTGGTTGTTTGGTAGAGAGACGTCGGGAATGCAATTGATTTTCCTATCATTATGATATTATTCTAGACATCAGTGAATTTGATCAACTATCTTTCGTAATCTCTTATCCCTTTACCTCCGAAGGTCTGATTTTTCATTCTCCCCTCTGGCTGCTACACATTTATTTGCAAATTAGTTGTTGATCCTGTCACTGGTCAAGTGTGCTCACAACAGAATCGTGAATGCGATGTTTTGTCGTGTCCGGGTCTTTGGTTACTGATCGCTTTTTTGATTTGGTACATCCAATGCATCGCCAACGCCGTTTGTATGTGGCAATTTGACTTTATGAAAATCATCCCCTCACCTTACACTGTGAGCGGCCTCGTCTGTTGTTGTTGGCAGTAGATGAGGTTTCGGAAGTTTTCTTTCAATTATTTGTTTTAACTTGATGTCCCTGATCGGTGTTAAAATTTTTATATTTAGATTTAGCTTTGATGTCGTATGAATGTGAAGCACCTGAAACACAGTTCGAGAAAGAAAGACGCAAATCTCTAAGGTAAGTTCCGACGTAATCACCACAGTGCCTTCATCTTGTCACCATTGCAAAACTTTATTTGAATTGGTGCTGCAACCCAAAGCACTTTTCTCGTTTTCAACTTGGAATGATACCTTTGTTGTATCTCGTGTATGTCTAAAGAATGAAAAAGCCTATTTCCCAACAGTTTCGAGACTTTTTTTCTACTTTGTTTTTTTATCAAAGTTGCGGACTACTCTTTTCTCTTTCCAGGTGTGAAAGAAATGCGGAGAGAAAATGAAAAGACATTTCCTGAAAGTAAATGTTTCGAGGCATTTGTATTTAAGTAAGCGTTTAACCTGCATCACAGTGTAATCGAAAACAAAAAAGGAAAAACCCAACCAAAAAAGTAATAAGTCTAAACTTGGAGGAAACTGCATGAAATAATTAACCTCCTGTCCAGTACATCTAGACTCCTTCGCCCAAAACTGTATTTATTTTTTTCCTTTTTTTCGGATTTATATGCCTTTTGATGGAAAAACACCCATTCCAGTTTTAATAGATCCCTCACTCAAGGTTAAAAAAAAAAACACGTGAATTGTATTTTATTGTTGGGGTTGTAAACTTCTATAAACTATCGTCTTTGCCTAAAACTCGTTGAATTACGAGGCAAATGAGTTGTTTTTCTCACTTTCTGTTTTCGAACGAATTTTGTAAATGAAGGTAGTGATTGACTTTTCGTGTGATTGATGTTATATCTGAATATACTTGCAAGAGATGCAACGTACTCGAATTTTCAATATTCTAAAAATAATTTCTTATTCTTATTGTAATATATTACCAGAAGTGTTTAAAATGTCCGCTGAGAATTCAATTTGACTTCGTTCTGATAGTTTTTAAGATGTATAGAGTAGTCTAATATTTAAAAAAGTAGACTTTTTGCTATGAAAGGTTCAGAAGAAGCTTTATGCAGAGTTCATTTTCAGAAATATTACAAAATAATAAAAAAATAGTTGCTGAATTTCTAGGATAAGTGGTAAGTTTTATACATTGCAAAAGTTGATGTCATTTATTTGCACGTAGGTTGTAGAAGAATGAGCGCCTATTTTGGGTGAAACTAGTTTTTAAATTTTAAAAGTTATGAAGAACTCAGAGTTCATTGAGTATTAACCGTAATTTATTGATTATTATCATTCGACATTTTCACTTGCGTGAGTGAGCGTTGGTTAGTGATATTTCTATTTATTTCTATTTATTGTTAATAACTAATTATTTCAAGTATCGTTATTTATTTCTGTAGCAATTAAGATTGTTTAAAAGTTTCAATTAAATTACAAGCGTGAACGATCTTTGGTTTCTTCTAAGTGTGTCTAGATGCTAACTTCTTACAATATCATCCCTAAAGCGCACGTCAAAGTCACGAGAATAGAAGGAATGATCGCAAACTCGAGAGGCTCCTGATTGATAAACAAATTCTCCTTATCAGCATCATAGGAAATGTACAGAGAACTATATGGACAATATGCATATTGGTGAAGAGGGATAATTGCTGACGAGAAAAAAAGGACGGCTCTCGTCATGCGCATTGCTGTGATTAGGTGACTCGGTGATGTTGCTGTAACCGGTAAAGACGAGTGAAGCAACAAACCTCACTTGTCGGATAACTTTGGAATGGTTTCCATGAGGTGCGCCATTAATAAGGACATTTTTCACACTTAAGATGTAGACTCAAGTACAAATTAGTCGCAGTCCTTTTATTTTCACGTCGTTTTCATTCAATTTGCGTTAAATTGGCCATATCCTCGGCAAACAGGCAAATTTATAGGAAGATACAAAATTTTAATTGTGATGTGAAAAATTGTATGTTTTTTTGTAATTGAGATTTCTTGTAAAACACATTTGGCACATTTGGTTGGATGATCCGATGTACTTCGGTTATCAAGTATGATTCTAAATGCTGTTGATCATAACATAATTTTCAAGTGCACAAATAACATGGAGTATCAATATGATCAACAGCGCATGACCACAATAGAGAAATCCTCTATGATATATCCACCCGACAAATGAGTTGATGATTAACGTAATGTATGAAATTACATTTACATTTCAAATTATATTGTACAACATCCTTTTTAACGTTTGTGTTAAAGGAATTATTCATTTGAATGATACGTCAGCTGCAAGTAAGCTTCAATCTCTTCACAAATGATTCCGAGATTGCATCGTCTTAAAATACTAGGAGACCAGTCATTCTTTTATTGTCTGAGGGGAGTGAGGTGGATGATTTTGGGGGGCATCATGGTTTTCAGGGGGTATCGGAAGGGGGAATTAATCGTCGCCAACAGAATGTAAAGGGATGAATATGGGGGGGGGGGGGGGGGGGGGTCATAAGATTATTGCAGAGCCTACCCCCTACCCCTTACCCTCTACCCCCTACCCACTACCCCTACCCCCTACCTCCTACCCCTTACCCCCTACTCCTTACCCCCTAACCCCTACCCCCAGGCAACAAATAATAACCGGTCCTAAATTATTCGTTAGTTCCAAGTCAGTTTGAGTCTCTTCTCAACTAAGCACGAAATTGCGTCGTCTTAAAATGCTTCCGGTAAAATACTTAAGCTGATTAGGTTGTCGCGTTGCTTTCCTTTTTTCTGTCTTTGATGTGTTCCCCCCTCTTCATTGTTATGAAGATCTACTTCATTGGCATGGCCACAGTCTTGGAAGTCCTCTGACTCATCTTTAGACGGAACTCCATGACAAGGTACGCAATTACAAAGGTCCCCAGGAGAGCGAACCAAACGGCCCATGCTGCAACAGGGGCCACGGCCAGAAGGAGGCCCAGAGAGATGTTGATGAGGGCCAGAATGAGACCAAGACGACCGATATTTTTGTGGACTAATTCCCAAATGACTCTGCCAGTCGACCTCGAGCCATCAGGATGTTTGTGAGGACGCCTGAAAGAAACATGTCATAAAATAAATATTCTTCTAAATTTTTGTTTGTGCTTCTCAAGAGAAATAATCACCCTCCCGTTTCCAATACTTATTCCAAACGAGTGCTATCAGACATAAGTGTATACCACAGAAGTAAATATCGCTTTTCGCACGCGCTGACTGGCTAGTGCGGAGGTGAATGGCGAATAATATTCACCTTCACTTTGGTGAGTAATTGTTAATTACTTGGGACTTGCGAATTGAAGGTAAGGCATAGTGCTTCGTTCGGTCTTTGTTGCCTTGACAGTAAGCTATTTGTAATTTTGCTCAATGACGAGCAAAGTCGCCATTTGTAATATTTTCATTTATGACCTATTGCTTGTTCAAAGATACTTACACAGCGGCATTTAAAGGTTGTCCCACTCCAATAATCATAATTATTATACCCAGTGCTCCATGAGCGAACTTCAGATGATCAAATGGAACTGATATAAAAGCGCAAATAAGGCCAGCAATCGTCAACACTAAACCTGTCACCTGAAATATATAAGGATATATTTTTGTTATTTTTAAGTCTGATTGGATTCAAAATCAGAGAAAAACAACTCCTTTGTATTAAATTTGCACTGACGAGCTATATTGTGCTCTGAAAGAGGACCAAGAGGGTAAGGGATCATGGGAGCAGCTTAAGTCGAGGGGAATCCTGTCATGAGTGAGCTTAGGGCTAAGAGCACTCCCTTTTCCTCAGACATTCTCCAAATCTTGTCTGGCAATAATTTTTTTGCTTTTTGTAGTTTACCTGAAGACCGCGATGCATCTTAAACCACCATGGGTCCTTGTGCCTAAAGTAACGTGCAATGAAGGCTCCGGCTTGAAGAAGCACTCCCCAACCAATGAACATGAAAATACCATGTAGCGCTACCAGATTGAAATCTGACGAGCCACATCCACCAGCAGATGGGTTTTTATCAGCTTCAGCTGCTGTTCCCTCTAAAAGCCAGATGTCGTTTAATAAACCATCACCGCTAAAGAAAAAAATTAACAGTTAATGACTGTATATAAGGGTAACTGGAGATTTCGCCTCATTGCAAGTTCGCCTCCCAACCACCTCTGCGAGTTCGCTCCCTGATGTAAAAGGATTTCCTACCCACCTTTGCCAGTTCACCCCCAAATCATTCAACTCGTGTCTAATGGTGCATTGGTTTAACACAGCCACGAATTTGCATGTTGATCGACCTTCGTTCTGGTTTCACTGTTAAAACGTATGTTGGTGGAAACGTATCACGTTTTGGAAAAATGAATACCTTCTGAGTTAAGGAATCGAATCGAAACTTATCGGGGCGAACTGGTAAAGATGGGGGCGAACTTGTGTTACTTTATGGAGCAAAGCAAAGGTGGTAGGAAGCGAACTTGCAGTGGAACGAAAACACTACAGACCTAAGTAAAGAGTACAATTCAAAGCCCTTGTAACATTTAAGTGAGAGAGGTCACCTCTTCGTGACTAACCCCAGTTTGCTCTATATTTGCACCATTATCTTGCTAATTATTGGATATAAACTCCGTGAGAAAAACTCCAAAAGAGATAAAAAATAACTCGTTCTTTAGTGAACAGACGGTAAACAAAATGAAGAAAGATTGAAGAACGATGAAAAGAGCAAGATGGAAGAAAGAGGTTTTCAAAATACACTAAAATGGTTTAAAAAACACTTGCTTACTTTCTGTGGAAATTATTTTATCGGAAAGAAGAGAACACACTATAAAAATTGCATCGAAAGTTAATCCAGATAAATCAATTTCTTACTCGGATCCCGAACCGCCAAACAACACAATCCCGCTATCAGTCGTCGTCATCACATGACCAACTCTTCTTGCCGGTGGAGTACCCTGCAAAATTGCATTAAGTTCATAATTATCGAAATTGTTGCAGAAAAAGTACTCCCTGTCCAAGGTAACTTATGCTGGCCGTTAGAAACAAGGTTTTTCCCTCTTCCCCAGTTTAATTTGTTTTAGTTGAGAGGTTCTGCCGAAGCAGAATCACCATAATTCGTATTCTACGACTCATTCCATGGGAGGACGGAAGAAAGAGAAATGGAGAGCAACATTAAGATTGGTATTTAATGAAAGGACGAGTGCTTTAGGAAGGTGTCTCTTTTCAAAGAAAAAGTAGAGGGAAAAGACTTGGATAGATATACATTTAAGGAAAAATTGCCATATCCTCCATAATATTTCATGAATATTATGACAACATTCGGCCTGCAAAAACTGACAAATTATTTAATCTCCTTCTCCATACGGTGTACCAAAATTAAAGTCACACTCCACAATCATACAGGCATGGACCCTTAAGACCAGTTGAGAACCCTGTGCAGGACATACATGTAGGGAAACTGTTCATGTTAAAAATACACCATACTTCCATTATGCAGCGACGCAAATGTCACTGGTTTGTAGGGGAAGACCGGCTCTTCGAGGGTCTTACTTCAAATTCATTTGATAGATTTACATACCTCCACTGTTTTTCTTTCCCACTTATTTGTATCAGGATTAAAGACAGCAATCTCATTTGCCTCGTAACGTGACGTCTACATATAATGGAAAAGGAAAATACTCTATTACTAAGATCACTCAGTCAGAAGACTTACCAAAACCAGTTATAACTAAATAGAATGGCGAATATGAGCAGTTTTTTATTGTTAGGAAAGCAGAATTACAGTCTTAGAATGCAAAACCTTATTCAACTATGAATACAGATAATTTCACTTTAATTGTGGCCCTTAAATCGTCATTAACTCTCCCCTTTGCGGCAAAAAAAACATACACGAGTGAATAACTTAATTGCAAAAAAAAAAAAAATGAGAAAAAGATAACTGAAATAAAAAAGTAAAAATGCAACTATTTAAGTTTGATATTTACATACCACCAACACAGATTTGCTTGTTTCCTGTCCAGCGTACAACACAGCTCTACGTTCACTACCATTCAGTGGTGGTAACATGGCCATTGCGGAGTACATTCGAGGCGTTGAACATTCCTCCAAGCGAGTCCACTCTGTTTTGGTTGCATCGAATTTCCAGTTATCTTTGGAAGGACATGAGCCACCTGTCATCCCACCTCTGAAGGAAAATCAAATTAGTCGTAAAAAAGAAAATAACTTTTATCGCCAAAATGAGAGTGTAAAAAGTTTAAGAGGAATTCAACGAAGGAAATGTAGTCATCGAGGACAAAAAAATTTCTGCAATAACCATGAGTATTGTTCACTCAGGCCTTATTTTCCCTAATGTACAGGGAATACATATTTAACGCATGCATTTTTTTTTAAGAAATTAAATTCTCGCACCTCATAGGCCCGTAGCCAATTGACAAGTCAATGAAGTATGGACGATAAAAATGACGTCATGCACGCAACACTAACACGGCTAAGAATTTGTTCGCACTCTGTGTGATCGTTTAAAAAGAAAACAACTTTTGCTTATTTTTTTTGAACAAGGAATGCTTTCACTTCTTTATTTAGAAGTAAGCTTGAGACTCTGCCAAGGTTTGTTAAGTCCATGAAAGTACTTTGCATTTCAAATTTGTGTATTTGTGTATAACAGCTGAGGTTCAGAGAACAACGCTGAAAATTTACGAAAATAGTTTTCACGCTGTCTTTCTTTGTTTGGAATAACTCTAAAAGTCTTGCATGTTACAAGCTTGTGTCTCATTGTTTCAACTAAGCCCTTCTTTAATCAATTGAGAGTACTGACAACGGAAAGGAGTGGCCAATGAGTGTACTTTTCCTTTCCATGCATAGATTCCATAAATGAAAACAACAGGTCTTGAAAAGCATTTGCCGAATCCTACCGACCCAAACGAAGCAGGGCTCATCCTGGTAAACCAGCGTCACCCAATTAGCATAGTGTTAAGGAGACATATATAAATATTCCATTTCCAAACTCTTAATCAGTTGAACTTCGATGTTAATACATTTTCTCAGCGGTACACTATCCTCTGTTTATTTTTAAAACTACAATTACACTTTTCATAACTTACCCCAGACAACCTCCATACATTACTAGCTCATCAGGCTTCGTCAGTGTTCCTGTGTGTAAGCATCTTGCATGTGGATAATTTGGATTGTAATTATTCGAGCCGGAAAATTTCTCCTCCCATTGATTTTTTTCCAAGTCAAATTTCAGAGTGTTGGAGTATCGAGTGCCTGAGAAACCATGCGTGATGTAAAATCCGTTGACTCCTTTGCCGTCGTCAAATATTCCTCCAGCAGATCCGTATCGCATTTGAGGTTTTATGTTAGAGTTATCACTGAGCCTTTTCCACTTTTCTGTGTCAAAATCAAACTTCGCAATATCATCGAAGAAACGGCGTTTTGAAGAATCACCTTCTCCCGAATATTCACCGGTGGATATGTAAAAAGCGCCTCGTCCATTTTCAGCGCCGTACACCATACTGAAACGTTTCTCAGGGATGGAGCTGTCGCTGCTCGCTATTAATAGTTTCCATTCGTTAGAAGTTAAATCAAAGCTCCAAGTATCTGCAAAGTTGTCCTGACCCGCTCTGCCACCGAAAATAATCAAGCGATTTTTTTTTCGGTCAAATCCGATCGACGAATCTCTCCGAGGCTTAGGAAACGGGTCTGAGTCATTGGTCGCTGAGAGCAAGCGCCATTTGAGCTGCGAGTAAACAGCCGTTACTAGCAACAGGAAAATGAGCGGTCTTAACATTTTGAAATCCGTCGAAGCAATGAGAAACCGAGGTACAAAATTGTAAACTTTTATAATCACCTCGCCAAATTTGCATATATCAACAACACGCGATTTTATGACAGTTACGTATGTTCGTCGTGACACACGTCACAGTGACAAGGCAGAAATTCTATAACATGGGAAGACGTGTTGACAAAACAACCAATAAAATGCAACAATTTATGTGGTTATTCTGACAACGGATATTTGATTTTAAAAAAAATCGGCAGAATGGATTTAAGTTCATTACTCTCACTGTTAGAAAATATCGAATGGGAAACCTAGTTATACTAATGTCAGCTCGTAAAGAGGCATCTTGCCAGCCATGATTTATGAACGAATAAATTAGACTTTCTAATTCAATAGATTCTTTTTGTATTGATAATATCATGTCTGTCTCGCCAGAAAGAAACATTTTGTATTTATATTTCTTACGTTAGACACTGTCGAATGAAGGCATGTTTTTGTTATGGTAACGGAAAAAACAAGGCTAGAGGAAATTGTAAGTTATTAATATGCAAAGTCATCATAGGTTGGACTCGAAGCAAATATTTTCCTTATTTGTAAACATTCTACTTAAAGGAGTAGTTCGAACAAATGCCTCAGTTTATTGATGAAAATGTAATGTCATCGTTAAAAGTGAGCGCTTCGGCAGTCTTAATTCCACGATGGCTCGTTGTTTCGAAGGGTCACAGGTAACTAATCATCCTGAATTACTTGCGCATATACATGACAAGAAAGAAAAACTCGCCAAACGTTCAGTTTCGTGGAACTGGAGCGAATGACATCGTTAATCATCAGACACACAGAATTTTGTGCTATTAATTGTGTCTGAGACTATAAGTAGCTTTGCATTGAAACGTCGACCTATCCTGGGTGAGATTTAAGATGTTCGACCGTCTGTTAGTTATGGGAAATATAGTATATGATTTTATTCATTAAGAGTTGGTTTTGGTGCTGACATTTAAAAGAGCCAATGTTACAATTAAGTTATGTAAACAAGTAACGATAGATAGGGTTGAAACGCATGGCATATAACAAACCTAAAGTGGAAATGTTTTGGTTTATTTTGCGAGACAACCACCCAAATCGTGATCTAGATCATCTCTGATATGGAGCGAGTTTAGAAAACCCACAAAATACATCCTTAGGCTCTGTACATCACTAATCAGTGCATGCGCCGGTTTCCAAGTTTAGAAACATTTGATTGTCGTGACAAAACGTTTGACAAACAAGTCTATTTTAAGAGACGACTAAATTAAGAATTTCTGACTGCTTTGATATCTTAAGTGCTGCTGTTCATGCACAAGATAGCTTAGTGTACGGGTACAACTTTATGCAACGTTGAACAGCACGGAACAAGCAACTACTTTAATTTGAGGAGGTCGTTCGAAGGTCAAAAAACTCATTTATTTACTTAAGCCTTTAAAACTAGCGACGAATTTGAAAGAGATACTTGGATTTAAGTGGCGATGAAGTGTTATCCATATAAACCTATTATAACGTACACTGCTACACCCAGAATCACTAGATCATCAGATGACCTTTTCACCTTCAACAAAAGAGTATTAAAAAACTTGTAGACAGTCCTGTTGTGCATGTGCGAGCATTATGTATGTTTGATTGAATTCGGTGAGGAGAGTAAACAAAATGAAATATTAGAATACCTTAGCTTAGTTTGAATTTTAATGACGTTCGTATATTGATATGAATTTGATTTACTCACGATAAAATGACAGACTTTTAACTTCATTTATCTCCGAACAACTTCTACGCGACAATCAATGTCCGACCACCCATTCCATTGGGATTTGTGCGCCTTTCACCCCTCTCCTGTTGAAAATTGCTTGTCATACTTCATTTTAGCCGATGATCTGACCTGCCCGGCGAGTGCATTGGAAATTGGGTCGGTGCTGCTCTGACCAAGTTTTACCAATCTGTCACCAATCAACAACTCTTTTAAGCCGAATACAAGCCAATTCTCCTTATTCATGGTAAGTTTTAATATTCCCATGCCACATTTTTGCTTTGATTTCTAACGTGCATTGTTTGTTCTTCCACGGCCCCTCTTTGGCTTTGGAAGCTTTGCCTTTGTGCACAAAGCCTTTTTAGTTACTTCCATCCTCTTAGTGGTGTTTCTTTTAACAAACTGTGTTTCTCTAAGAGTACAATCAAAATAAACCTGAGTTTCTTAGGTTCTACATCATTATCATTTTTCTGTTACCTTTATACTTATCTTATTCATTTAATATAGATTTATATTTTTTTTCTTTTGGAGGTATTTTGATAGCTAAATTATAGAGTTAATATCCCTCTCTAAGCTACTGTGGACGCAATCAACGAAACAGATTTTTAAAAAAGATGAAAAAATTGTTGCTGCTGTATCACTTTTTAATGATCTTACTCTCTATTAGTGTCATGCCCCCCCACCCTCACGTTCACCTGGATACCAGTAATACTAATTGACTGTACTCATCCACAATAGAATTTCATGCTCTCTAGTAAATAGGATTAAAACTTCCACCCCCCAAGAAAAGGTAGCAACTCTTTTTGAAGAAATAAACCAATTTTCCCCAGTGTCCCATGCATTACACGTGCCATGCATGTCTCGGGGATCAAGTTCTTTATCTGATCTCTTCTGTTTTAACACTGTTTATATTAAGGCCTAACGAATATTCTGTTTCATCTCCAAGCATCAATGGTAGATGACAGTTGCTTTTTTATATCTTTGTATTTTTCGATTTCTCTACACTCCTAACTCTTAGCAAATCAAATATAAAATTATTCATTTATTATTCACGTGTTGAAGCTGCTTTGTGTTATGGAAGCCCATGGGATACCCTTCCTTTAGTGTCAAACTTTTTTTTTACCTCATCTTTTTCTAAACAAACATCCGTCACGGAAAATGTCTTAACCTTTAAATATTGACAAAAGCTTCCCTTATGAGATACAAAGTGTGTCATGTTGTGGCCATTTTCGAGAAGAGAGAGGACCGGATGTAGGCTAGTGTCTTCTTCATAAGTCTAAATGGCAAATCGTCTCTATTTCATTGCACTCTCTGGATTTTCAGAGTAATATTTGATGAAATCAAACACTGCGCTTTTCAAAAAATTGCTCTTGAAGTCTTTGATTCACGGCGATTCATAGACGTCAAGAATAATTTTCCTAAAAGTGATGTAATTGATTACTTCAAAGACTACTATGAAAATCTGTAGAATACATTGAAATTGAAAAAGCTTTTTTCCCTTTTTTCTTATTCTTTCTTACACTCATACAATTGCATTGAAACACACTCTACAAATTCAAACACTCATTTCATCCACCCGAGCCATAACCACGCCTTTGCCTTTCATACCAATGTTACAATTCAACGTATTTCATCAGTAGTCTAACGAAAGGTTAACGCACCTGTCCAAATAGGTATACTTTACCGACAATGGCTCTGAGATACAACAAAGACTTATACGCCTTCTGTTTGTGTCATTGTCAGGCCTAAATTAATCAGCCGGTCCGGCTGAGGAAACCTCACGATAGTTTCAATTAAAGTGAATAACAAAGATAATGTTTCCACTTACCCTGTGAAAAATTCAATCTATTTGTAAAATAAGATGGCTCATTTCCTGAAATGATAATAATGCTTCATTCCTTATTCTCTTTCCAGGTTCTCTTGTTTAAAATTTGAATATGCCCTTTTTTGCTCACTATTCAAAATTCTATGTAATGTCCTTTTTTTTTTTTTTAGAGAAAGGAACAGAGCACAACCCTGTAAATAGTATATTGATAGCTTTCTAACTTTTTGATATTAGAGAAAAGTCATTGCCCAAGTATTCTCGGCTTCATAATCACTGATTTTTCATCTTAGAAGACGAAATACTGACTTAATGGGAGTGCTTGGGTTTTTCACTTCGAAGGTTTTTAAAAGCCGCGAGTAAGAAAGCCATGTGACAAAACTACTGCGGTTTTCATTAAGATTCTTATGGCGAAAATGACAAGTAACTATTCAAACTAAGCGAAGCAGTGTCATTATATTTACGAATGCGATTTTTCTCTTGAAGCGAATTCTTTGTATTGGAGTATGGTACAAAATCCTTTTCATAGGCCAAGATTTTTTAAAGGGATAGCTCGCCTTTGGACTACTATGTGGGACCAAAGCCAAAATGATCAAACGCCATACTCGTCTGTAAAAGCACTGTTTCTTCACCTTATTGAAGTTTATCTGCTGCTGCACGTGATTGAATCTTTATCTAGTTAAAGAATTGCACCCTTTAAGAACTCCATGGTTTTCGTTATACACAAAACGTTAAGCCTCTCGAGAATACATATGGCACTCTGCATTTACCCACGCTTTTTAGCTATTCGCTGGCTGGCAGCGTGAAAATTGACGTTTGCATCACTTAGATATGAAGATTCTCTTCGCAAAATAACTTCTTTGAATGCTTTTCGAAAATCCTTTTTGGCCAATGTACACAGGATGGGATTCAACATGGCAGGCACGAAGTTGAGAAACACAAGCAGGCGCTGCACCCAGAGTGGCAGTTGAAAATCGATTGATTCCGTATGTTCATCAAGCACTGTTAGGAAGTACGGCGACCAACAGCCAGCGAAGATTATTAATGTTATTAATAAAACACTACGTCCTCGCCACTCGTGACGTTGAGGTCGAAAACGCTGCCGGAGATCCTTGTTCAATTTGCGATCTGTTTGATGACGCTTAAATGAAATATAAAATATGTTTCCATAGATATAGCACATCAGTATCAGAGGAAATGCAAAGAAAAAGGCTATACAAGCCAGACTGTATTTGATATCAATGCTCTCTGTTTCTTCGTCAATTGTTGTCAATGTTTCCTCATCAAAACTGTGCCAAGACATTTGAATAGTTGAGGCTGCAAATGCAATCAACCATATGGCCACAATGGCAGCAATTCCTCTGCGATTTGATACAAGAGAATGATACCTCATTTGATGAATAATGAAAATGTAATGGTCACAAGCGATAAGCAGAACATTACATACCGAAGAAATGGCTGTAAATCGAATGAAGATTGTAGACAGCACACAAACAATGAGAAAATATCTTGTAAAACTTGTTAAACATATAAGAGCGAGAGGAATTCCCACCAGACCAGATAACAAATCAGACGTGGCCAAAGAAGCAAGAAACATGTTAGTAGGTGTTCTCAGCGTCTTCTTTTTGTGAATTAAGATGATCACCAAACCATTTACCGCACTAATCAGCAGGCACATGAAGGACAATATCACAGTCAGTGGCCAAGGGAAAAAAGTTTCTTCATATTCAGTTTCAGAAGATTCATTTCGTGAATCATTGACTTTGCAGCTTGAGTTACGCACACTAAACGCTTCCATTACTTGGAAGATGAAAAATCCGTGGACTCCGTTCTGCGTTTTAAATCATTTGGGTAAGCAGATTCGTCTATTTTTGGAAATAGCTGATACGTGACTTTTATCAATTAATGTCAAGGCGAATGAAAAGTTATATTAAAAGGAAAACGCTTTCTAAGCGGCAATCTGCGAAAGGAGAAATTAGCGAATTAGAAAATAAAGTTAAGAACATGCGTATTGCATAAATACAAATCCCATCCTTGGCAAATAATGAACTTGAGATTATTTCCTCACTACGGTCACTCGTACTTTACTTTTTCAAGGATAACGCATTGGTGAAGTGAAGACAAAGAATAAAGTTCAATTTAAATTTGTGCGAAATAAAATGGACATATTTTACTGAGTGGAGTCAATTGTGTTATAGGTGCCATCTTAGTCGCTATGAAATATCCGGAGCGGAAAGCATCCATTAGGATTTACCATTCTGTCAATCACATCACTTGAAAAGGCATTGTAAGAGCAGAAACTTCCCCTCACGCGCGTCTTCCCCGGGATTTTCTTGTCTTTGTTTTGATTATCATTTATAATATTATAATTTATTATTTTCTTATGGAACAACATAACTTTTTAGGGATCATGCACTCTGTAGTGACTAAAGGGACGCTTGACACATCAACATCGAAAGAAGATCCTTATTTGAAGAAGTCGGAAGCATTTCACTAAGTTGAGTGAACGCTTGAGGCGCCGGCTGTGAAGCGGAAAGATTTCTCACGCTCGACAAAAATGAATTAAATAAGTCAATTGAAGTCTTCTGCAACTAGCTGCATGGCGGCATCTAAGATTTTACTTGACCAAATTCGATATAACATTAAGAATCGTATAACCCTTATATCTTTTCATGATAGTATGTTCCCAAAGTATCAGATATCGTTGACTAAAATTGGTTTATTGTCTTGTTCTTTCCCATCTTTAGGCAGAATAAATCATGCAACTGCATGGACAGAAATTAGTAAATTGCCAGTACGAAACGAAATTTAACATGTATCGTGAAAATTACTTTATCGTGGAATAAAGGACATATCGAAGTCATTCACTGAAAATGAAAAGGTGGAACAATTGAATTCGCTCGAGCCTTGCCTCATCAAATATAGCTTCAATAGTGTAAAATATTAATATTGTAAAATTAAAATGCAGATATATCCGGCCTTTGCTGTAGCAATATGAAGTGGTAGGTTCATACATTCATTCGTTTAACTCACTCTTTGACGGCCAGTCTCATTCAAATCAATGACACCCCAATTGGCCTTACCAAGTTTGACTCAGTGAACAGGTTCATTGACAGGATTCTAAGGAGAATATGATTGATGATTTCGAACTCGTTTTGGCTTGGAAGATACATTTTGGCTTCAGACAGCAACTATTCCCCGTATGGAAATCGAGAACTGTTGTCAAGCGAAACACTGATCGGATTTGGACAACAAAATTTGTGAGCTTACATTCCAAATTAACGATGTTCTTACGGTCTTCAAAACTTGTCATCTAAGTCTCTAATGGTAACTGACGTAAAACTAGGTCGTCCCCACCGTTACCAGTTCAACCCCAAATCATTCAACGTTTTTTATTTAAATATTCACCATGAAACACTGGACACACAAGTGCGAAGATAAAATTATGAAAACGTTTTTTCCAGAGTTATAACCGATGAACAGAGATGAAACTGTTTACCAAATTAAGTCGAGAGGCTTTCCCCGTGAGCTTCTAAGTCGATAGAAACGTGCAACAATAAATTGTCTGCCAAGAGTGATTTTTTATAATGTTTGGTCAGCGCGAAGCTAAAAGATATGGCGAGATAATTAGTTCTGAAAAATGTTCTGCGAACGAAAGCACAAAATTGTGTCAAACCCGTTAGATAAGTTAAGACTGGAGTAATGTGGTAGTGAGCTTTGCATTATTCGTGCGTTTGTCGTGCGTTTTTAACACGGCTAGGAATTTGCATGTTGATCGAACCTTGTTATGGTTTCGCTGTAAAAATTTCATGTTGGTCTCAAAAATATCATGATTAGGACAGGAAATGAATATTTATGTGGAAGGGGGGCGAACTTGCAATGGCGCGAATTCTCTTGTTGGCTATGGGACTCAATTTTGATGTATCCCTGACTAGTGGGTGGTCATGTCGTTGCTTCAGTTCGGGTATTTTAAATCTGCTCTCCTTCTTAAGATTCCGTGATGCATTGATGACGCCCTCGGGCAAACTTTTTTATCTTTACATCTTTTAAAGAATCAAGACGTGTGAGTCACTCCGTCTCATGTTTGATAATCGTCTTGTATAAGAAAAAAAATTTAGACAATCAAATTATTTAAGAGATGGTTGAATATAGGATATTTGTTCCAAGTTGAATTTTCTATCATGAAACTAGAATCGAAGTCTGATGAAAGCAAACGACAATCAAGCTTGTAATTTCTTTTTTTCATTAAAAATTTCGGGAGAAATTTCGCGAAGTTTTCTCACGAGATATCCCTTAAGTTCGCCCAAGATGCTTAATATCGATCGCAAATCCGTTGCTACCGAAATCAGAGACAGTCTACGAGCCTTCGGTGGCTAAAACAAAACAATTTCGTAGACCTTCGCTGGCAATCTCCCGTGTTTTTTTTTATTGGACAACTTGGATTTAGCCTAGTTTTACAGTAAAACCAAATCAACGTCTTGAAACACGTTTGGAGTTGATAAGCGATAAATTTAAATGCATTTTGAATGTGTTTGCATCCAGATTTCAATGACGCTCGTGTATTTAAGCACCAACGTCGTAGTTTGTTTTCAGGGAGAGGGGATGTCCTTCGACGACTAATAAAATGAGTAGGTACCTGCACGTCCGTGGTCAGCACTGAAATCAAAATGCCCAGAAATAACGGGAAATACTTTGATCATTTCATGTATCTTACGACTAGCTGCTAAATACTTATTGGCGAATTTATCTCAATCACTTCGCTGCACCAACCTTGTAATTTGTTGACAGGAAGGTAGTGGAGAAGTCAAGAGTGGCAAGTCTTGAGTCTAAAACCTTTGAGGACGCTGAGTCTGGTGGATGCAAAACCTGCGAAATGGTGTCGCTGCTGGCTACCAGGGTCTGAGCGAAAGAAACAAATCACGAGAGACAAGCATTGATATTGGCAAGTAAAATGCAATTTTTAAAAAGTTATTTTTTTCTAAAAACGATGATGATGATAATCAAGAAAGGGAAGCAATTAAGGCACGAGGATTCTTCGTCATTATGTGAAGGAAACGGTGAATTGTGTTTGTTCGGAAGTTGTGTTTGTCGGTTTTGAAACATTTCAATGCAGCGCTAGTTTCTAGCCATTCTATTCGTTTTATTATAAACACTGAAGTAATCATATCTCTGGTCACATCTAGACAGCGGTCAAACATAAGGCATGTGCGAATAGATCAATTTTGGTAGCCCACGGTCTAATTTTCAGCTTGAAAAAAATTTCAAAGGAAACATAACAAAAAATCGCTGTCTCGCAAAATAAGCCAAAGGAAAGTGAAGCGTTCATAGAAATCTGTCACAAGAAATTGAATCACATCTCATAAATATGACCACCTATTTGCCTGCTGCTCCACAATGTCTCCTGCACTAGATCAGATGAAATATTCGTCAGACTTGCGGCCTTGGGGTGCACCTGTCATAAGAAAAGCGAGGAACACAGCCACCTGTTCTGGCGTCGATAATAGTCCAAATCGGAAAAACTTCTTCAAGACAAAGAAAACGAGCGATCACTTCAGCGAACATTTGGAAGGGCTGTTAAACAAGATGATATAGATTGAGAGAACTTATCCCCCATACATACCCCTATTCCAATGATAGTTTTTAAATCTAGTTTTAGTCAGCGTTCTTGCGGTACGACTATTTGGTTTGTGATTCTGCGATGAGATTTGATGTGTGATGTTTAGCGGTCTGTGGTTTGTGTTATAGAATGGACGAACTAAATATCTTCAAGAGCCGGAATATAAACTGCTGTTAAGGCATTACTTTTGATGTGACATATGAGGCTATCCTTTTTTACCTTGTACAGAATGCAGTTATAAGCGAAGAATTTAGCAAAACTCTTAATCCGAAAACCGGGCTAATTTCAGTTGTTAACAGACTACCAGCCGGGTTGTACCTGACAACACCGGTGGTCTCAGTAATGTAAATTCTACCCACGGATGAGTCAAGAACGACCGCAGAGGTACAAATGAGCAGGATTGAGTGAGTAACTGCCTACATGTGCGTTGCCACAAATCGATTACGAACTGTGGGGGCAGTGTTAAGGTTCCAACGACTTTTTTTTGTTCAAACAAATTATTTATGCAACATCTAAGGAAAACTGTACAGGAATATATGTTTGGCTTTGGAGCCTCCCCTCTATTCTCCTTGTGGAACTAATGGCACTTAATTAACCTTGAAAAAGATAACATACTTCTGAATTTCAGGACGTTATCCATGACAGACCTATTGCACTGATGAATGAATTAGTAGTACTTGTGGTAGAAGTTGGTGGATGTTAATTTGGAGGTCTAAGATATTTAGCTTGTGTAGCGGGTTTCGGTTCTCAAGGTGTAAACATATCTGATCGGAAGTAAAGATTTACTGATTTCAAGCACTCATCTTTGTATCTAACTGATTATCCTTTATTCTTTATTACGGTACTTGAAAACGTAAAAACTAAAAGGTAATTTACGGCATAACATACTATTAGGAGCAGTTAGAAACTATACATAGCATGTGCTATTGTGCGATCACTCGTACACATAGGGCGTACACCATAATACTATTTAGAATTAATTAACGCAATAACCGAGATAACAAACATAATCCGAAAACATGCGAATAGAAATTACGAAAGCGAAATCATGCCTCTTTTCTCCGGTAGAATTCTTCTTATTTTACGGCCTCAAATCTTGTAACTTTGATCTTAATCGACTGCGTCCGAGCACAACTGGCATTCTCTCTAATTTCATTGAACTTATGACACTTAACTCAAAACGGAAGTTACGTAGTCGACGATTGTGGAATCATAGCTAATCATTACAGCTCGTCTGAAATATAAAAGTAAAATCTTTGGATCTGATTGCTTTTGTCGCAGTGCAGTATAACGCAACGAAACTTTCACGCCTTAGTTATTTGGAGTCAGTTTTAGGATCAAGTTACAAACAAGACTACAAAAAACTGCAGGTTTGCAAGAAATTAAAAAAGATAGGATAATGAAAATATCTGATGAAATGATGAAATTTGACGACACTGGTTCAGCACCGAATAACTCCCTTTAAGTTCTCTTTCGAAAGCTCTATTCTCTCTCTCGAAAACTTGAAAAGATAAAAGAAGAGACAACCAAATCCACGGCTACAACACGAGGTACGCAGATTCCTCTACATAGTTCACCATATGGGGAACACCTGAGTAGTAACTCAGTTTCGTCTTCCGTAAAAGGTCCAAAGTTTTTCAACCCCCCCTACTCCTGAGACTGCACGGTTTTCATCTATGGAACTTATGCAAAATCAATAATCACTATTTCCCAGCGCGACTCAACGAAATTTCGGTAACTTGGATACCGAGGCAACTCAGTCGTAGGTGATTTCGGATTGTAGCACGTTAGTACATAGAAAACCATCGCAAATAGCTTCTTATAAATACAACTCATTCAAGTACCAAAAAACTAACTTATGAGGCTAAGAGATTTTAAACGTAATATTCTCTTCACGAGGCTTTATGACTTTATGGGTAACTGTTCCACTCCCAAGACTGACCAAAGAAGAATTTTTTTTAACATTTCCGAGAAGGGCGATGAAAAAAAGGTAGAGATAGTGTTCGTTTTAACAACAAATCAGTCTCAGTTTAAGAATTATAAGAAATTCCTGGTAGATAATGCAGATATGATTTGGTTTAATCAAATGAGTGGAAAATGTTGATTGGCCACCGAGAAGAGTTTCTAAAGCTGACGTTGGGAGTGTTAGCCCTTCGTCAGCCCTTCGTTAGCCCTCTGTCATTCTTTCGTCAGCCCTTCGTTAGTCTTTCGTGAGCCCTTCGTCAGCCCTTCGTCCGCCCTCTGTTAGCCCTTCGTTAGTCCTCTATCAACCCTTCGTCAGCCCTTCGTTAGCCTTTCGTTAGCCCTTCGTCAGCCCTTCTGTCAGCCCTTCGTTAGTCCTCTATCAACCCTTCGTCAGCCCTTCGTCAGGCGTTGGCTCGAAAAGTTAGCTTTGGAAACTCTTAACGGTGGCCAATTTACATCATCAGTTGATAAAACCAAAGTATCCTGTAATACCTCCACTCGCACAGCACAACAGTTTCTTTCGAAACTCACCCCCTTTAGATAAAGCAAAGAACTGATATGGTGAGATGGGAGTTAAAAGCGAGTAGAGCGTCACTATAACAGCGGATGGTTTTGGACGAATTCGATCCTCACTGTGTCTTCCGTTGCTAAGGTAAGGTTTCTATAAAGCGGCTTCAGCATGTTCAAACTGCAGCTGCCAGAATGGTTGCGCTTACACCCAAAAATGAACATATATATCACCGGTATTACAGGAACTGCATTGGCTTCCTGTAAAAACAGCGCATAATTTCTAAAATTCTTTTGATGACTTTTAAACGTCTAAATGGCATAGCACCTTCATATTTGTCTGACCTAGTTACGAGGTATATTCCAAGACGCAACTTAAGATCTGCTAGTGGCCATCGCCTATTTGATGTTAAAATGTAATCAGCGCAACAGTTACTATGGCTTTCGTTCTTTTTCAGTAGCGTCACCACAGTTGTGGAATGACATTCCACTAGGAATAAGATCTTGTGACATTCTGAACGATTTCAAGAAAAAACTGAGGACTTATCTTTTTAGGAAAGCGTTTTTAAATTAGTTCTTTTATATTTTAGTCGTTTTTATATACATTGGCCCTTTGATATTTCAGCTTTATATTTTAAGGTTTTATTAATTGGTTGTTTTATATTTTAGCCGTTGCGGTGCAATGTAATTTTTAAATATTCTTATGAACAATACTTGTGATATCTGTAACATTATAAACATTTTTGTTAAGCGCTATTGGACATCGCTGGAAATGGCGCTATATAAATGAAGTACGATAATTATTATTATTATTATTATTATTATTATTATTATTCTATATATATTCTTATTTCTTTTCGATGTTTCGGTTTAAACTCGTGGCTAAAGTGCTCCTTTGATCCTTCATTTATAACATAATCCCTAAGCACCATCAAACGACATTCTACATAACATACAACACCATCTTTATTGTTTGCCACCAGAACCAGCAAAGCTGTAGGGAGGGAGGGGGGGAAGGGGGGGATAAATGACAATAGGGAATTCTCAGTTTGAAAGCGAACTAAAAGTAAAGTACGGAATAAAAATCAAGCACATATGACCTGGGCAGAGTTAGTGAGTAACTAATGGGTGCTTCGTATAATAATGCCACTGGACGATATCTTATATGTCACAAATTGATCGATCTTATGTTCACACTCCCTCTTAAATTATTATGTTGCTCGCACTTTCCAAACACAATAGAAATTAATGAAGAAGGCAGAGAAAAAGGAAAAAAATGATTTCATACGCCACGTAACCTTGAAAAAACGTACAATAGATGGGTAACCTGTTATACAGTTTTAAAACTGAGGGTTTATTACCCAAAACCGCGAACAGATGAAGTTTAATTGATACCACGTGATAGTACTTGGTAATATGAGTGATATATTGTCCTGGTGAACATGATTAACTTACAATTTTTCACTGGAAAGGAAACTTGGAGTACATCGTTATCATCTTCTAAATGATTGTAGGCAATATATAAACCCACGTGTCCAGAAAGTCGCATTTTTTCTAATCAGCGATGCGTTTCTGAATTTTGCCAATTCTTATCAGGCACGTAGGAAGTTCATGCAGTGGTCAGAGGATCTGAGTCATCAGTCTCTCACCGAACGTAATACTTAAGGTCTGGTATTCAACTGACAATGGAAATTCTTATTTCTGTCAATTGAAATATGTTATCGTTTTAATTTTCTTCGTCCCGTCAGAATCGGCAGCCTAAAAATTCGCAGCACCAATATCAATTTCCAGAGGATAATTACATATACTTAAAATGATTCTCAAATGCTGTTTTGTGCTAGGATTATCGTTGTGCAAACAAAAGAAATATTGTTTGCGCCCTTTTCCTTTCAAATGACAATGAAGGTGTCATATTCGTAAGCGTTTTCTGATTAGAACTGTCAAAGTTAAGTAAACTGCTCGGAGAGTGAAACCCACAGATGTTGTTTCTGTCAGTTTCGTTCAGATTCGCTATCTATAGTTCTGAATCTCTCGCGGGTTGTCTGTAGAGAAATATCTTGATTAAAATGACGCAAAGAATTACGACCTATTACAATCTCCTTGAGTGCATGACGAAAATCCTTTTTCGCCAAAGTGCACAAAATCGGGTTTAACATCATTGGAATAAAACCAAGGCAAATTTGCAGACGCTGAGACCATATTGGTATGGTAGAATCTTCTGAGGAACTCATGTGATCGTGTAATACGGTGAAGAAGTAAGGCAGCCAACAGCCACCAAAAATTATCAACGTGATCAACAACACACTACGACCCCTCCACTCATGACGCAGAGATCCACTGGGCTGCTTATAATTATAAGTTCTGATCCTCTTACGGTCATTTTGGTTGAGTTTATAGGAAATGTAAAAAATACGACCATAGATATAAAATATCAACAAAAAAGGACCGGCAAAGAACAGGACGATGCAAGCAAAGCCGTACTGCTTGTTTAGATCATCCATAAGGGCATTTCGATCACCGATCTCTAATCCATGAAAAATATACCAAGACAACTGAACGACAGAGGCTAGAATTGAAATCAGCCACACAGCAATAGTGGCAACCACTGCTCGTCTCTTTGTTACAAAAGCACGGTACTTCATGTCATGAACAATAAAGATATAGCGATCTGCAGCGATGAGCAAGACATGGCAAACTGAGGAGATGGCTGTGAATCGATTAAACACAGTAGAGGCCACGCAGACAATGATACTGACGTCCATCTCCATGCAAATGAAGAGCAGAGGCATTCTCGCTAGACCTGATGTAAGATCTGAAAGCGCCAGCGAAGTAAGAAACATGTTGGTAAGTGTTCTCAATATCTTCTTTCTGTACATTAAAAAGATTATGAGACCATTTTCGGAAACAATCAACAGGCACATGAAGGACATCAAAATAATCAGTGGTGAAGTCAGAAGTTTGGATTCATTTTCAGGTTCAGTTCCATTGGTTGAGGCATTCCCGACCAAACTTGAATTGTATTCGCTGGGTGATGGGGAAACGTGAGACATGTTAGTGAAGAAACCACGTAATCCTGTAATGATACAGTTCTTGTTCCTCTCAGCTCGGCGTGTTAATCAATCACTGGTGGGAAAGAACGGCCCCTATAAGAATATGTAACATGACACTATAACAAACTTTCTAAAGGGCTGCATTGATATGAAAACCACTATTAAGAGCTAAATTTGAAAATGGAATATACAAAGATAAGAGTTAATTTGCTTGTACGTAGTGTTGAAACATACAATTACAACATTTTAATTGAGTCTTTGGACTCAGGTAAAAATAAGTATGGTCGGTTTTTCTTTGAAGTCATCCGGTTCGACAAGTAACTTAATTAACTCCTTCTACGACATTTTCTGGCCAAGAGGAAAAACAAGATAAAAGGGAGTATGTAAATCGTTTAAAGATCTTTAATACGCAAGAATCACGTTTTGCAGGGTATGAATTGTGAAGTTTCCTCTGTGGGTACCTTATTGTGATAAAATATCTTGAATAATTCATCACTGGCTTTCCAGGGTTAACCCATGTGCCATGTGACCTGATCCTTCATTTAGTGTGGTGATATTGACGTGTCATTTGATATATTATTAAGGAATCATGGCTAAAAGTACACGGAGACATGCATGTATTAGGAACATTCATTTTTATTTGCGGTTTTCGGAAGCGATGAATGCGTTCTTAAAATTTGGACAAGAAAACGGTTTTTACTTGACGCTCTCAGCAGAAAAGTCCTCCTTTTACCCAAAAAAATCAAAGAGAAATTATAGGACAAGGACGAAATACCACTTTTACTGCCCGTCTGATCGAACTGAAAATATGAATTTAGTTTGCTTACCTTCAGGGTTTCAATCTTAATAAGGTCAATTTTTTTTTGGATTCTGTCTGTTGCCCTCCGATCATTTAAGGAATTGTAGACTTTGTGGCTCCATGACCTTCAGCTTTTCAATTAAGGCAACACCACATTTCCTAGATTTAATAAAAAAAAAAGTGCTCAATTTTCTTAAAAATAAAACAATATATCACTATGATGAGATTCTCTCTTTTTTCGCTTCTTTCAGAAGGAAAAAACTGAAATCTCATGACACTGAAACATAAAGTTCTCTAGCTATGATTGGCAAGGTTAAGTATAGTGTGACATATGACATTTTTTACTTAAACTTTACTTCTGTAAGGTAAAAACACAAACTAAATACATTTTCCTAAAAGTTAATAGCTTCCATGACCTAATTGCACTGGTTCTTCTTATGACCGAACTCCCAGGTACCTGTATATGCACATGTCACTACTACAGATCCCTTACTGATAATTTTTTCCCAGGTATGAATATTTGAGCTGTTTTCTGTTTCCCTTTCATCCTGTAAGTGTTATTGCCCGTCCATTAAATTTGTAGAATATTATTTTTATTTATTCAGCTTGCCATCTGCTCTTATTTAAGCACGTACTGGATTGTTTTGTCTATTATCGCTTTTAGCGCGATTTTGCGGTTGATGCATGAAATTGCACTTGTGTAGTTTATTGTTCCACTTTTATGCCATTTTACCATAAAAGGGCGACAGGACGTGCAGAATATGCCATGTTATTACACTGCAGAAAAGGGCAAAAAAATACGGACAGAAAGCGGAGCAACAACATGGCCAAACCAAACGATCCAAGCTTACCTTCTTAAGGCTCGACTTTATTAAAAGAAGAAATTTTAGACGAAATGTTTTTTTTCGTTTCAGAAAGGACACTTCGATAACTTCGATCTCGTTGTTTTTGTCTTCCGCGCGCACTTTATCAAATCGATACGATTTCAAGAAAATTCTCGGTTGTATGTATTTCTAATACTAGAAGCCAAAATACGAGAAAATGGAGTAAATGGTGGAATAATAAATTCCTTATTCGATATTTTAACATGTATTGCAAGCGGCATTTTGCGGATTGCTCGTATTCTTATATTAAACCAGCAAGCAGGATGTCTTTTATTGTTGTTTTTGCGTTCTGAAATTTACCCTCAAGCTTAATGCTCAAGAATAACTGTACCAAACACCCTTTCTTTCACTACCTACGAGCCATATCATATTAAACATGATTCAAGCAAAAGATCAAAAGATAAGTAACGATACTTTTACCTCAACTACTGACTTCCCAGCGCGATCTCGATGGTTAACATAGCAACTAGTCAAACCATGCCAAGGTTAACAAAGCAACCAAGACGAACTAGCTGTAAAGATCATTTGAGGTGATCCGGTCTTATTTTTTCACGCTTTGTTTTGTTTGTGTTAAGTTAAAAGGAAATTTAATTATCACTTTTTTGGGTAAATAAACGCAAGCAATACGCTTTCTTTCCTTGCTTTCCGACAGATCTTTATCCATTATATCATTCAAGGCGAAATTAAGGTTTATGAAACTTATTTCTGTCTGAGAGAAAATGCAGCTAATTAGCAAAAGGCCCGAATGTTTCACTTAAGCTCGATTTACTCTGGCACTTTTTTTTCTCATTCGTCTATTGATATAAGACCAGGTCGTCTGTTCACTGAATATCGATATTGATTGGACTGACTAAGATTCTTTGTGATCAGCTCATTGCTATGAATAATAAAAGTTTTAAAGTGTTAAATTTGAGCATTAAATATGCAATGTCATTTTACGCCGACCCTGAGGCACGAGCTGTAAACATAGGAAACACTTGTAAATCTGCCATGACCGTATTTGCATAAGTAGTTGAGTAGTTGCACTGGGACTAACTTCTCGTTAATTTTCATTAATTTTCAAGTTGGACGCTTTAAGCTTGCATCTCCGCTGATGATCAATCGCATGAGTGTAGGCAGCTTTTACATACCGCCTATTACCTTCAATAAGCCTGCCCACATGAACCTCTTCCTCACTACAAAAAGCCTCATTCACCTGTTATCCTTCCACAAATTGGACTCCCTTTAAAAAGCATATTCAGTTTGTGACACAGAGTTTATGAGATTTGAATAAAAACTAACAATTTCGGGAAAATTGTCGATGACAATATCTTGATAGCGTCGAAGATATTAAACCGGCTGAGATGATGCTTTCGTTTTACTTCAGCTTCAAATGTTTCTTTGAAATGCGAAGTGGAAGGAGCAGGTCAGCTTGGAGAAAAGGTAAAACTTGACACGAACGTAAACAACGTGGAAAATTCCTTAAACTTATTTTTTTTTACGGGATATTGTGCACAGAAAGGAAATACTAGGTGACAAAACAGTTGAGTCTGGTAGAGACTATCAAAGACTTGAAATATTTCAAAGACTTTTAAAGTAATTTCAACTAACATCGGTCAAAAGCTTAGCTTACCAGTGTATGCTTTGAGTACTCCGGCAGTTTTGTTTTTCTGATGATAAAGAAGTACCGAATGTACCAACACTTCTGCACTGCCTCTCATTATGAATATTTATTGTTGTAAATAATATAATTCTTGCCTATCAAAGCTGAATTCTATTGGTTGGAAATACTAACTTCATGTGTTTTGTCTCCATGCCACCAGCAGTAAAACTCGCAAAAAATCATAACAGTTGCGGTTTAGACTTTCAGCAGGCTTTAAATTGATTTCGCGCTTTGTCGGCGCGCGGGTCAAAGACATTCGAAGCGCCGGCCGACGAAACACAAACAGTGGCTTCCTAAAAAAAACTTCAGGACATGAATTCATCCATTAGGCTTTAGTTTGGTCCTTTGCCTGAGTTCCGGTGACACAGTCCTCAAAAGCCTATGTTAATAACTGCGAGAGTTTAGTGAAAGGAAGAAAAAACAAACTGAAACAAATTGTCCATTCTTTAATTTATCTCTGAGTAAACCTTTGGGTGACATCCTATGTACGCATACTTAAATAAAAAAATCAATTTCATCTGATTTAAAAAGGAACTTGAAGCCGAATTTGTTTAGAAAAACAGAAAAATGGATTTATTCCTACGATCTTCAACATCCAAGTTCCCTGCAGAGCTTCATTTAAACATGGTGATGCTTTTTTTAGCCTGGAAAATGCTATCATTTAAAAAAGAAACGCTAACACTTGAATCGAAAGCAAACAATGACTGAGTAAAATGAATTAGTTGATGCCATTTCCAAATTGTTAAAGAAGCTCTCCTGTGGAGAATCATTTTCATGTTTGCACCTATAAAGGCAAAAAGCACGCTGTAACACGATCCCTTAAAACCCGCACAGACAAAATTACATCGACCAACAAGTGACTATTGTCTAGAATATGTTAGAGTCGTAAATGTAAATGTGAAGTTCTAGAAACGTGATAAAAGCCGATATTTTAAATTCAATGAATGAGCACCTCGTGACGAACACGTTCAGGTCATCGGAAGAAAATTAATACGATATGATATTTTAAAATCGGCAATAAGGAATAACTTTGATACGCATACAAACTCAATAAATCAGCAGACAGGTGCTTTTTAAGTTAAGAATATACGCATGTCTTATTTTGCTTCTAAGGTGAACTGAATTTTCAGGAAAAGTGGAGTTTTTAGATGAAAAGCTGTTTGAGAGACGTCTGTCCACTAGCAGTGAATATGATACCTAAGAAGCTAATGATCAGCGTATTGTTCTTGTTCAACTGAGCTGCTATCAAAAGGCTACCATATTCTCTTCGATCAAAATTGTCACGTCTCTCAGAAGCAGAAGAGTGCATGAAGTAGAAGCAAGCTTGATACTTGAACTGTTGTTTAATACTTAAATATTGCCCGTGGTATTGAAAACATTCATTTGTTTTATTTTGTCATATGTATATTTTCTGGGTCTTATGGCAATGATCTAATTTTTCACAAGTGAAGGGTGTTATTTTCAACGATTTTTGTATGGTACCAACATTTTATTAAAAATGTTAATGTATACCGTAGACTGCAGATATTGAATAGATTCTTGTCATTTCGGTCAGGCTAATGTATCATAAGTACACACTCAAATTTTCTCACTAACACTAAAGAAGAAAATTGACATAATACCACTCGCCCAAAAAACTTCTGTGAGTTTTGGTAGCCATTCAACGCTATTCTGAAACACAGTAAGCTTACTCTGGAGATTTCTTCCTGAGCGGGACGCTTCATTACGGCTTTCATGGCAGTGATAATTGAATCAGTATTGCAGTAAAATTCATGTCACCTCGTGGTTCTCGATCATCCGATTGAAAGGTTAATAATTACCATTTCATAAATAGGATTTCTTTACATAACTTGCTCCTTCTAATCTCTTGTCAGGTCTAATATCTATCTAACTTCCATCTTCTTTGATCTGTCCACCTGAAGAAAGATTGTTTTGGTATTCTTTCCCTGCCCTTCTTTTTTTTCTTTTCTTTCTACTTTCCTTTCATTGTGAAGCTAGAATTAATTAAACCACTTTCCATCAACCTAGACTTAATCAATTTTTCCAACTACAATAATAAAAATCAAAACAAAAAAAACTAGAATCAAAACATCTTTTTTCATCCTTGAGAATTGTCTCCGCCCCTTTTTTTGATGTCAAAGTTAAAGTTTACTTATTTGAAGCTGCTGTGCTGCATATGCGGGCCAATATATGCTTTTTTGACTGACAAAGGGAACTAAGCTCATCAGTGAACATAACACGTCGAAGCCAACAGAGGCATTATTAGAGGTTTGGTTATGATCCCTTCATCAACTCCAAACTCGGTCGTTCTTTTGATCAAATGTGATATTCTAAATTCTTACTTGCATAATTACAATCTGATTTAATACTTCCCCTAATTTAGCCTGAGAGGGGCTCTATTATTCCCTGGTCAATTTAATGTCATCCTGGAAGTTTTTTCATGCTTCCTAAGCCCTCACATTAAACCTCCCTAAAAGTGACCTCTGAAGATAAATTTTGGTTTTTTTTCTTATTGTTACCGATTCACACCACAAGCATAATTGCTGATGAACAAATCGTGACACGTCAGGATTTGATGTTATCGTCTCCTCCAGGTGCATTTCATCATTTCAGTGCCATAATATTGAAATTAACTCCGACATAATTGAATCAAGAATACTTTAAACTAAATGTGATGTATGCATGATGATGAAGCTTTTCTCTAACACCGGTAAAAGCATCACAACTCAAAACCATTAACGGCCAAAAAAAATAAAACATGGAAAGGTTTGACGGAAATGGATTCAAGATTCAAGGAGTGCTGCCAAAAGTTGATTATAATATTTCATTTGAACATAAATGATTTAAAACTCTCTCGTGCAAATTGAAAAATATGTTAACCAGCGCTTGGGAATGTCTCAAAATGTTGTCTCACAAAATGTTCTCTCAAAGGAACGAATATTATTTCGTACTGCAATGAAAGGACGTTTTAAACATTTCATTCCTGCGGCAATACTCCTCTTTATGGTTCGAAAAAATCCATTTTAGTGAGGATGTTAACAATTTGTTTGTTCACATTAAGGCAACTTATGATTTCCCCTATATAATCAATTTCATAATATTTCCAATGATAATCATTGTATGAGGCTTTTCAGAATCCTCATTTGATATTTCAACGTCATGTAAACTTTCAAGCAAACTAATTTTAAAGATATTGACAAACTAAATTCGCGATCTATGAAAAGATAGATTAATTTCAACAAAAAAAAAAGCAAACCGAGTTATCTTTTAGAGAAGACCCATGCAGTGCGTCATATAGAAGAGAGCATATATTTATCTAAAAGGCGACATTTGAATTAAGCAGCCCACCTTTATTGTCTATCATCTGGCATTATGAAGTGTTTTTGACAAATGTTAATTTGGTTCCTCTTCCGTCAAAACCTATCTTTTGATCTGTCGTGAGCGGAATGCGATTAGGTTAAATTACCCGCCTGTCATGCACGAAAAAAAATGATTTGGAGCATCTAATTTATACAAAGTGAATCAGGAAATCTAGCTTTGCAGATCAGAGAAAAATTGTAAAATGTCGCTGTTACTTGGTGGATCATCCAGTGCGCTCAATTCAAGTGGTGAAGACAGTAATTCAAGCTTCCAGACAAAATCTGATCACGAGCGACCCGAGATTCTCCCTCTATCATTAATTCTACTTTTATCCCTTGTGTGCCTGCTGGTTGTTATAGTCAATAGCTTCATCATCTTCTTACTTCACAAAAAGAGAACACTGCGAACTCTCCGCACCAACATGTTCCTTGGATCGCTGGCAATTTCAGATTTGTTGTCTGGTCTAGTAGGAATTCCTCTTTTCGCTATTTGTTTGGATACAGATATTATAGACGTTTGCGTGTCCTCTACAATTTTCATTCGATTTACAGCCATTTCCTCTGTCTGCCATGTTCTACTAATCGCAGTGGATCGTTATATATTTATAGTTCGCTATATGGAATACCATGGTCTTGTAACGAAACGACGAGCACTCTTCGCCATTGTTACTGTTTGGCTTTTTTCTTCGGTGGCTTCCGTCATTCAGTTGTCTTGGTATATTTTTTATCAAGTTGCTGTTACAGACTCCGAAAACATCACAAATGAATTTAATAAACACTACAGCCTAGCTTGTCTCGTAATTTTCTTTGCTCTGCCTCTTTTGTCTATGTGCAGCATTTATGGCCGCATTTTCTACATTTCAGTCAAGCGTAAAAACAGTCATCATAAAATGAGTAACATTGTTCAACAGCCTTGTCAACCTCAAAGTCATGAATGGCGGGGCCGTAGTGTGTTGGTAATCGCGATTGTGATTTTCGCAAGCTGTTGGTTGCCGTATTTCGTCGCGATGCTGAACGACCACATGAATGATTCTGAAAACACGACCATGCAACTGCATATGCAGCGTCTGTTGGTATTTGTAGGGCTTATTCCTCCCATATCAAACCCAATTTTGTGCACACTAGCTAAAAAGGATTTTCGTCGAGCACTAAAAGAATTATTATTGAGACGGAAAACGAATATGCCCGCTGCAGTTGTGGTACACCGTGAACAAATATGCTTATAAGTTCTTACAACTTGACTCTGTATGTCCATTATTGTCGCAGGGTGAGCGATGCCTTTTAAACATATTATCAGATAAACGAATCAAACTTAACAATTTCTTTCTCAGATGAGTTCCAATGAAGAGGATACCATTGATTAACAATTTTTTTTTTCTAGCTTGGGAAATAAATATAAGTGTGCGATTTAAAATGGATTGTTCGTTGCAGCGTGAGTGATGCCTTTTAGACATGTTATCAGATAAAGGAATCAAAATTAACATTTTCTTTCACAGTTGAGTTTCAGTGGAGAGAATTCCATCTAATTTACAACTTTCTTTTCTTCAAGCTTAGGAAAGAAATGTTACTCACGATTTGAAATGGAATCTTTTGTTATAACATGAAAGTTTGAATTTAGTGTGAGCAGTAGTGGGTGGCATACGATTGGATTACAACAGATTGAATTATACTAACGCTTTGAGATTCTTATTCTCTGTTAGAATATCAATATAAAATCAAATATGAACATAACCTTGACAACTGGACATCCGCAAAATCATTCCGGTTGCTTTTGATCATTAGCTTTCCGATTCAATATCCGATTCAGAAGTAACCACTATACTTGAAAACTTTGCGGAAAAAAAAAAAAAAAAAGGAAGACGGAAAACTCGAAAAAAGTAAAAAAAAAAAAAAAAAAGAACAAAACATCTGCAGAAAACCAAATTAAAAATTAAAAAAAGGATAGAAAGAATTTCAATTAGGATATTTAAAACAGAACACAGTGTCTACTTACTGGCTCTCAGCTTTCGTGATCATAATATTTAAGCTATGCTAACAGTAGTTTGTATTCCTTCTGAAAAGATTTAATTGGAAAAGTAATTTCGCACATCCGCAGGATGTATACAAAGATTATACACTGTACTTCGAATGTGGAAAAGAGAAATAAATCTGTTGTTATTATCAAAAGGATTTTTGATCGCTCTTCTCAATATTCAATATCCTCTAGAAATTTCTTTTTGTTGCATTTACCTGACGTTATTTTCATGCTATTAAGTTCCTTGCAAGCAAAATTATCTTATCTTCTAACATTTTTAATCCTTTCAATCCCAAGATCTAATTAGCAGTTCCCCTTACTGTCTGTCCTACAATTCACATGGTATAGGTCTGAAGAATTTGGTACTGGATCAACTGATAATCCCCCAATTTATATTTTTCTTTTTTCTCATCACTTGACTGCATAAAGGTATATTAAAATTGTAAGGAGAAATTCTCTCTTGGTCACTCATGGGAACTGAAGGGTTAAGAACTTTTTCAATCTACAGGCTCTGCTCTTTAAAACGGGAAGACAATTTCTCTCATTTTTTTTTAATTGAGTCGGACATTACTGTACGTGCTCTAGCAATGATCTCAGCCAAACGAAAAGCAAAAACTGCAAGGGGTGGGAAACCGGAGAACGTGACCCAATGCTGTTGGAAATTATAGCAAAACCGACCATCTAAAACGAACAACACCCCGAACTATGTTAATCAACCAGCTGGCACCATTAAAACCAGTTGTTGCCAAGGAGCCGCATGATAAGTAGAAGACTGAAACAAACCCTTTACTTCGCAAGCACAATTCACGGCCAAGATACTATTTCAAAATTGTCCATAGCTCATCTGGCTCGATTACCGTAAAAAACTGATTATCTCTGAAATATTATGACAGCATCTTGACTACTGTGGACGAAAAACAAGCACCAAGACGTCTAAAACACGATTAGCAAATTGAACGTTGTACTAACAGCTGAAAAGGAATTACTGCTGTTGTGGACAAAGTTGCATGGCCTTTACGTCCTTTACGATAAAAAAGAAGCACTAGTAAGCGACCAACAAACTTACAAAGAACTCAAGCGTGACCCGCCTCCCACGCTTTAAAACGAACTCAACTGCGCAAACTACTCAGGCTCAAGAAGACTAAAGTTCTGAACCCTGACAACCATCGAAACTTTACAGCCTAACGATGCTCACAAACCTGGTTTCCGATGCTGACTTATAGGGTCTAAAAAGCTGGTCCTCTTGCTTGCGACAGACTTCTCTCAATAGATCACAATAACCAGCGACACCATACAAACAATGACCTAACATCACAGACGAATCGCAAATGACCGATCACGAACGAATTATGAAACTTGAGTCTTGCAGCTACTAACATCACAGAATAATTGACCAACAAGTTTCCGCCAACAGGATCAAATGACAGCATCTTTTTCCCTTGACTCTGACTTCTGCTGACGTTTTCGAAACGTTAGTCACCACAACCGACTTACCCGGAAGACGAGATTGCATGTTTAAAACTACACGTAAGGAGTATCTAAGCTACAAACTCTTTACTGCTTTATCTTGTTATACTCCCTCACCGACGCACCACCGACGCACCACCGCATTTAACATAGTTGCCAGCTACAGGTGCATGACGACGAGTTGCGTGGCTAACAATGGAATATTTTATGAATTCAAGGTTAAAGAAAAGTAAACATTGGTGCAAATTTTTAAATTTAAAAACTGGATCTCAAGAAAATGGTTTAACCTTGAGTAGACACTGGAGGAGCTCATATTGACTGGCCGAATTGTTAAAAGAAAATGTGGAACTCATTTATTAAAACAGGAGCCAAGGATGATTTGATCGTCTTTTTTAAAAACTGCAGCTGCACATTGCGATTACAGAATCCTGTTTTGAATATGGCTGCATTGTCTTAAGTAATTACTACATTGAATACCTGACAGGACTACAAAACAACAAGGTGAACCGTCAACTGTCGAACAGCTGAAAGTCATATACCCATCAACCATGAAAAATGTAGGAAATTTTTCGTAGACCAAGAATGGAGCTAGGCTAAATAATTTAGACATTTCGTAAAACTCGGCTCCTGAGGTAGCGGAGTCTGGACATAAGAAACAAGAAAATTATTTACATCAGAAATATTTGTGCGAAGTGCGTAGCTGTGTTTCAGGGAAGGCCGCAGTCTTCGAGCTAAAAATGTTTCCTTGTACTTGTCAATAATGTTTTTATTAGCCTGGTCTATTCAGCATTTTATCCTATTAACATTGAGACCCAGGTTACAATAGATAAACTGTCGCTTCATTAAAAAAATAACCGTCAACCGTCTAATGGTCGATAATGTAAGTGTTCATGCACCAACAAAAGAGCTTAAATCCAACCGTCAACCTTTTAAGACATCAACTTGTAACTATTATAAGCGACGCTCCAATGCTAATACATTTTAACGACGCCTTCTTTACTCATTATTTGGAGAGACGGGGTGGCGCAGTTGTAAAAGCGCTCGCCTCCCACTGCTGTGGCCTGGGTTCGATTCCTGGTGTCACATGTAGTTGAGTATGTTATTGGTTCTTTTCCTTGCACCGAGGGGTTTTCTCCGGTTCTTCCGATTTTCCTACCCCCATAAAACCAACATTTCCTATTTCAATTCAACATGGAAACGGTGGACAAGAAGAGCCACCTCGTGGAATGTCCACTGCTAAATCCCATCCCCATATATTCAAATATCAATTATTGTAAAATTATAAAATAAATATGCGAAATTGAAGAAATTAACTATGGCAACCACAGGAAATGAATTAAACTTACATCTGTTGCAATGCCAAGCGAAGCTGTGGAGTTATTCGAATAAATTTCCGAGGCGAATTACGGGGAAAAGCTGAAAAAAGCGCCCGACTTCTAGCGGCAAAGGTGTAAAATAAAATAGTTGCTAAGTAAAAGTAGCATAAAGGCTCTATGGGTAACGTGCTACAAAAAATCCTTAATGATAAATAACTAGTGTTAAATGCTGCTGAATGGGTGATTAGTAAAACCTAGCACGGACTAATCAACATAATTCGGATGGATATTTAAAAGGACAAAAAAGGGCGTTTATGACCTTGTCTATCAGAATTCAAAAGAGATGATCGAGTCACATTGCTCAAATACAAGGTAATTCAGTTATATAGTTCACTCAGTCATATTCCCTGTAGGGCACCGACGCTGTTAGGACCAGGAAAGTACACATATTACATAGCTAATCAGTCTGCAGGGGTACAGGTACAGGCCGCTGTTGACGACGACCGCGATCACAGTTATAAACCAAAAAGGATAAATATGATAATAATTTGAAATTCGGAGTGCGCCGGCGAAACAGGGATTTTTTCAGTGACACTTTGAATCTCTGCAACAATACTGATTCGGAAATCCAAGACAAACAATTTGTAGACGAAATGCAGACGTACTTTTTTGAAGAGAATCTCTTTACAGAAGCAATTCTATCCATCATTCTAATTGTGTTCAACGATGGAGCTCAATTTAATTTTTAACGTCTTTTTCTAAACCTCTCTTGCTTTCTCTGATTTTGAACTTGAAAACCACCGGGCCACCGGTATTTCATGCAACCCTTGCTATTCATTAAGTCATAATTTACATTTTCATTATGGTCGTCATTATCATCGTCATTGTCATCGTTATTATCATGATAATGTGTAAATGTAAACAGCACTCGACGCAATATTGCAACGAAAAATCAGGGAGAGAATCTTTTGAACGACTCCATTTGTCAATATTGTGGCTATGAAGACTTCCGCTCATAAACATGTAAGTTTGACATTCTCTTGAAAGTTTATCTTTGTTTTTTTAGCTTTTACCAACATCGTCTTGGTAAAAACAGGAAAATTATGTCGAACTAGCTGGCTAGTAGAGTCAGCTCCGGCATCTTTTCTCATTTTTTTCATTTTGTTAAGTTCACATAGTACATTACACAGGGGACATAAGCTTTCGCCATTATTAGCTTCAAGTAGTTAAGTTGAAGTGTCTCTAATGTTGGAAGTGTGAACAGTATAAAGAGAATGTTCCATTCGCTCTTATTGCACTCACTCTGCCTCACACAACGTAACAAAGTACAACTAGCAGCAAAACTAATATTTGTTATTCCCCCCCTACATCCCTTGCCTCTTTCATTTTCCTTTCTCTCTCTCAACCATCCCATCCTTCTTCTCTCCTCTCACCCACCCCTCTCTCTCTCTTTTCATTTCTCTTCTTCCCCCCCCCCTCCAGCCTTCCTCCATTCCTTGTACTTCGCTACCAACTAGTTATAAGGACCTCATAGTAAATAAACCGAAAAAAAAGGATTTTTTTTAGCACTTTAATTTTTACTAATTCTTAAACTTGATTGACACTGAGTAAGATATATAAATTACGCTTCAATTTCAATAGCTGAACCAGTAATACAAAAGAAACGGCTTCGCAAATAAGGAAAGGATTTATGAAATTAGTTCGTTAGGAACTAACTGCCTTTCCGCAAAACAAAGCAATTCTGAGATGATGATCAACAAATTAAAGAATGGCTGATTTTTGCGCCCTGAAAGAAACCCTCAAAAAATGACCAATTACAACACAATTATGATCTCTCGATTTCACCATCTAAAAAGCTGAAATAAACTTACTTTGGACGATGTTTTAAATAATAATAATTAACATGGACATATTTACCTTATAAATTATAATGTCAAAAATATCTATGAGCTAATTCGTCTTTTCGTTTAACATTTGAACAGTCTTTGCTACAATACACAGCTGTTTGCGAATCCGGAGCGTTCTACAGAGGTGATAACTTGTCAGAAGTTCATTTTCTACAGCGTTACATCAGTATTAAGGACGCTACATCAGTATTAAGGACGCTACATCAGTATTAAGGACGTTACATCAGTATTAAGGACGTTACATCAGTATTAAGGACGTTACATCAGTATTAAGGACGTTACATCAGTATTAAGGACGTTGCATCAGTATTAAGGACCCAGTATCATCTATCGCCTGAGGGGGGCGAAGGGGTTTTCTCCTTAGGTTCCTAAATTTTCTCAGTCCTCTTCCTAAAAAAGTCCAGAGTTCCCATTGAAAAAAATCCCGCAAAAAAAGACAAAAACATCCACACAAGATTTCTTTTCTATAGCGTAAGCACTCCTCCCCTCAATCCGGGGACTTTATTTTGAAACTATAAATCAATCTTCCCGCGGGTAACGTAATTTCCGGTAAAAATGCACTTCCGGTTCGCTCTTACAAACAATTTTTTTAGAAAAAAGGCACAAGAAATAATCCTTAACACGGGGGATCCTATAGTTTTCAGGGATAACGGAGGGGAAAACTGGTCGCAAATGGAGAATAAAGTGAGGACTATGTAAAATTGACTACCAATGAGGGGGGATAAAAGGAATTTTACACTTTAAGGGGGGGTCAGGTAAGACTTATCGCGAAAAAGCCTCCCAATCTCCTCATCCCCCCTGTGATAAACAAAATGACCGGATCCTAACATCATCACAAACCCCTTTCATTCGTGCTTCTTTTGTATTTCATTAAGTATTGAGGAAACGAAAATGGCCTTTACAGCGTATGAAAGAGTTTTTGTTGAGATACAACTTGAATCATGTCCTACAGCTAAAGCGTTTGCCATCTTGGATTGTATTTTACGGTTTATCGAGGAATCGTTAGGTCTGTTTAAGAAATTTAAAAAAAAAAAAATGATACAGAGGCCTCGTGCAAATCTTCACCTTAATTGAAAGTGTCTCTTCAAGTGCATTCCAAAAGGAGCTTTTAATATTGACAGACCAAAACGGTCCAAGATGAATTTAAGAGCAAGTTACATGGTTAGAATGCACCTCAAGAAAAACAATGTCAAAGTCAGAGAAAGAAGCTTTTTTTGTAGGACTGAAGGAAAAAAAATCAAACGCCATAATTATTTTGCATGTCACTGGTAGATGATTCCCTTACCATCCGCAGAAACGTTTCTGACGTTAGTTTGATAAAGCTTTTAGATCATGTTTTCAGTTTTTCAATAGAATTTTCTGCTTACTTTAGACAATAATTAAGTTTAGCTTTTCTTCGAGGTAAGCTTAAACCAGTCAGTTACCTTATTACTACTCTTTTACCCTTTCATTACATACCCTGCTGACTGAATGATCCCTTAAGGGAAAATAGCTTTCCAACGCTTCAATAAAAAAGATAACCCCTCGCTCCGTTTAAGAACGCAAATGATAAAAACTGTACAAAACTTTGCGCACGCGCAATTAACTCAAATGCGTGGGTTTCTTTGACACAGCTGCAGGGTTTATATCTTAACCCGTTAACTCCCAGAGGTGATTAACATGTAACTTCTCCCTATAATATCCATACAATATTCAGCAAACAGGTAATAAGAATGCCCAAACTTGTCAGGTAGAAGTTAATCTCTTGACCTAACACCAAATTCTTGTAACTAATTTAAAAGGAAATGTGTAACAGTTAGAGCGGAGAATTTACGATCAGCTCTTGATTTAAAGGTTTTAAGGAAAGTCACCCACCTATTGCCCAATAGTCTTTAAATGAACTGTCCTTTCAAGTTCACCGATTTTTTAACCAGCTGCTTTGAGATGAAATGACTGGTTCCTTTTAGGCTGATCTAAGATTAACACATACATCAGCGACCGTTGTCAATAAACTTCCAAAGCAAGCATATTCACTGAACCAGTTAGGCTATCACCGCTGTTGTTTGTTTTTTCGGCGAGTGTAACTGAAGTTGGGGTTCTGTCACATGTTCTGTCGCGTGTTTCAGAGACGGAAGGAAATTTGAAAAAACGAAGATTCAGGCTGAGCCATTGTTGCCGTCGCGCTAAACCACGCCAGGCACGGCGATAATCTTGCTTACAAAACGCGCATAGAATGGGATTTGCCATTGGGGGAATGAATCGGAGATAAAGGATTACGCATAAACCCCATCCTGGTACGATATAAAAGAAAGTCTCCAGAATGTGATCTTCAAGAATAAGAAGAAAAAACGGCAGCCAGCAACCGATGAATATTAGCATCATAAAAAATAAAATAAAGGTTCCACGTAAATCGTGAGCAATAGAGGGCACTGGTTGGTCGAGATTTTTACGACGTCTACGAAAGGCGAAGATGTGTCGAAAAGAAACAAGTAAGATGCAGCTGTAAATGTAAAACATCAGCAGTAAAGGCAAAAAAAAGAACACTATGATCAGCAATAAAAGATAAATTTTGTCAATCTGAATTGTGTCTTCCTTGGGTTCTTTTAGGTCGTTGTTCCATTTGTACCAAGCAAACTGAATGGATGAAGACGCTAATGCCACTAACCAAATTACCGCTATCACGCATGTAGCACGGGTTTTTGTTGCGATTGAAGGGTATTTCATAGAATGTAAAATAATAAAGTAGCGGTCACAAGCAATGATAAAAAGATGACATACGGACGAAACAGCAGTGAATCGCCAAAGAAGCACGGATAGCGTACACTGTAAAAGGGAGGTGGTGACTGTACAGGACATGAAGACAGGAATTCCGATTAAACCAAACAATAGATCAGACAGAGTCAAGGAAAACAGGAACATATTACTCACTGTCCGTAAAGTTTCTTTCCAGATCGTCAAGACGATAACAACACAGTTGGCAGCCAAAATAGATATGAGAATCAAAATCAAGGGTGCGTGGATCGGCCAGTAGAAACCTTGAGCACAAACAGATCTCCCAAACACTTCCTGTTTGGCGCTGGAATTCGTCCCTTGACTCATATTTGTATCAGACAGTAGTTCTCCTGCACTTGCGTTGCCAAAAGACATCTTTGCTACTCCTTACCAAGTATTGCCTTCGGCTCTGTGTGGATAATTCTCTTTTTTTTCTCAAACAACAGTTTTTAAAGCCCTGCGGCTTCTATGAATAGTTGATTGGCCTCAGAAGTCAGGACACGTGAGATAAACACCCGAACTGGGGCCAAAACATACCATTTAGGTTGCAAATTCAACTAAGTTTTTAGCTCGGTCCTTATGACAGAACAACAGTAGCATTTGGCTTCTCGGTAATAAGTTATTTTCAATCGTGGCCCGGAGGCAGAAGGAAATCATCAACTCCAGCCCAGCAGTGTTCTGTTTATATTATCTTGCTAAACCCAGCAAATGAGATGTTGAAAACCATTTAATTTTCAACACGGATTTGGTTTATTTTGCCACTCACTGACCGATATTGAAATTGCTGAGAGCTTTTTGAAAAGAATTCCAATGAATTTTAATAATATGATAAAAAAAATTTTTCCTCCTTGCATTAGGACTATTTTGTGAAATGAAAACCTGGCATGACGTATGCAAATAATCAAGAAGTTCTTTTTTTCTTATATCATTTTATTTCTCAGTTCAAAATGATCTTAAGACTCAATATCTTTTAATTCAAATTTCATCTAAAGAGTCACGCGTAAAAATAACTGAAAAAGAGTGTTGTAAAGCATGATAAATAGGAAGAACGTCGATGTTTCAGTCCACAGTTTTTGGTTGAAATTCGAGGAAATTAATCTAGCCTTCTTTTAACAGCAGAGCAGGCCTCTACCGTGACCAATCAATCTGCCTTTCCAATTTGCCGGATATTTTTTAATATTTCAACTAGCAGCGCTATCTTGATATTGAAACCCGACAGCGCAGTGAAGAAACAATTATTAATTGACGATATTTCGCTGCTATCACATTTATGAAATGTGCCATAAAGCACGGAAAGACCAAAAACCTTGTTTAAAAAGAAAAAAAAAGAGGCGTTCTAATCTAATATGCAGAATGTTTTGTTTTGTTTGAAATTGCTCTACATTTCCCGTCTTTAATTCTCTTCAGAAAATAAAACATGTAGATAGGTGTATTGAAGACAACAAAGCTTCAAAAGCTTATCGCTACTTCATTATAAACACGTCCTCTTCTGATTGACATTTGTATTTTTTTCATCAAAAATACCACCAGTAGTTTAGACATACTTTTTCATCTGTTTTTTCTTTTTTTTAAAAGTTGCCTTCCCCTTTGTGTATATCTCCTGTGTTGATTTGACAAATTTAGAAACAGCCTTCCGAAATACATAATCAGGAAAAAACATCACCGATGACAGATGAAACCTAATCATCAACTTTCGGCTTAGCTTTTAAGATTATTTTCGATGAAAAAACTAATTGTGTCGAGATAGACAACAGTAATTCATATCCCATTTTGAAAATCAATCTTAAATGCAATAAACCACACTTGCGTATGAAACCATATAAAATGACACGTACGAAAAATTAAAAGCTAGACAAATTTTCGTGCAATATGGGAGCAGGTGATGAAGGCAAACCATTCTCTTTAATAATAAAATCTGTTCCTTTCTTCTAAAGCGGTCTTAATTCTTTAAGGACCCTCTATTGGCAAGATTAGATTGTATTCTGTCAGCATTTACAAAAAAGACAGTTCCGGTGGAACAAAAGTTCAAAAATTGCAATTAGATATTCTGGAAAATAAAAGTGCACTTTCTATATTCAGTTATTACAACAAAAACAATCGTGGACCTAGGTTTCTTCTCTGCGAAATACTCTATGGACTGAACTACATCTACAGAAGAAGCTCGATTCATAAGGAACAAAGAGAGAGGAATCAATGATGCAATCACTTATTTTTAGGGTATTATATGTTTTCATGGTTCTTTTCGGAGTATTCTGTGGTCTCTCAAATCCTTCTTATTCAATGGCTCCTCGTGGAGCTCCAATACTTTCTCTTCTTTTTTGAGCCAGGTAAAAGGCTATAACAACTGACAGACTACTCGGGGCACTATCAGTTCAAGTCCCGAATTTATTACTGCGGTATTTGTTCAACAGATCGTTGCAGCTTTCGTGGTGGACACAAATAAAGAAATATATAACGCTTGATCACCCTTCCCATTTCAGCTTATTGAATTTCTCTCCTGGCCTGGTCTAGTGATGGGGTTGTGATACTTTGGGGTTCGGTCGCGACTGCACTCAAAGTGTGATTAAAACGGATCACCATGAGAGATCGTTAAGGAACATAGCTTAACATTTGTAAAGCTTCCTCACGGTTTTTCGTAGTCCTTGTTTGTCATATCTTTTTTCTCGATTCCACTAGCCTCATAAGTATGAGGGCTTTTTTTGTCGTACCACAAGCATTCTTTGATTGATACTTATAATATGTTCGACCGCATGACCTAATATTTTTAGGGGAGCAGAGAGTTTTATGCCCCTCTGATTCAAAACCAAGTCCAATCTGTTTTGCCCAGACTCAGACTTGAGCTGTCGGCTTTTTTTGGTATACCCGTGTTTTCGGTATCCCTGAGCCCGAATCGCTGATGTTTTATTACCCCCTTCGATACCATTGTGCTTCTACAAGGATTTTGAAGACATGATAAATTGCATGCAATAGCAATGAAATGGATTGGCAGGACTGCTACACTTCCCACAGAGTGGTCAGGTACTGTTGTGGATATCTTTTTAAGAAATTGAGAGCTGCTTTATAGTTGCCCCCTGTCATATAATACTTGCTGTTCAACAATGTAATTTTTTACTTTCTTTACCTTTATTTAATTGTACAATCTAATACTGACAATTACTGGTATTAAGAGAAGCATGCTTGAAGGCAAAGGGTTAAATCACTAACTATAGATGTGATCTATATCTAAACATAGCTTTTCACTAGGAAACAGAATAAACATAATTACTTTTAATGAGTTAACAAAAGAAGAAAATTCCTGATGAATAATTATTTCCTTTAAGGTTTCTGCTCTTGCTCTTTAAAAAAGTTTCCATTGTGATTTATTTCTCTAATTAATTCTTGTTGTAATTTCTTATCATACTATATGGAATGATGATGCATAAATCACAGAGAAGGTACCCTGAAAGCCTTTTCTATAATTGTTGACTAAAGCACTTCATTCAAGAATTGCCACCTTTTCTGCTGCATGTAATGAACAATGTTTTTTATAGCTATCATACAAGTTACTGCGCAGTAATGTGAACTAGAGGAAGAGGAAAGGATCAGATTGGGAAGGAGAAGAGGATAACCACATTCCAATTAATCTGGGTATCCTTTTCAATGTGCCTGCCATGTTTATGGCAGATCCAATTTTTATGATGAACATTGCTCTAACTTAATTTGTAGAGTAGGGGATGATAATGTGAACCAAATAAAAGAGATGTGTTGTGTTTCTACCTGAGGAAGGGATAGCCAAAACCTTAGTAAAGTGGGTATCCCTTTCACTGTGGTTTCTTAATTTCTGGTCAATGAGTCAGTTTTGTATTCTCTAATTATCATTTTTATCACCCTTTGTCTATTTTTTATATAAATAGAAATATGCTGCAAACTTGTGAAATGGAATTGTTTTTACCCACCTTCAGCTAAAAAAAGGAGGGATAACTAAATCCTCACAATTATATAAACCAAATTATTGTATTCAATTCTGGACCTCAACTATAAGGGGACAACCAAATGTTAAGTGAAAGGGGCATTCCTTCATAAGTTCAGTAACTGTTGAATCTCTAAATTCTCATGACATTATTGTTTTTCATCATCATTAATGGCAAAAGATCAGTGTCATGCAAACTAAGAAGATGGAAATTACTTCTTGTCCACCTTGAGCTTCAAAGAGGAGGGGAAACTCAATTAATCTTTAGTCATATGGATATTCCTTCATATAAGACTGCCCTACTGGTATCACAATATTACAACTTGGACCTGCTTCATTTAGTTGTATTAGATGGTTGACATCAATCTTTGAAAGGTTACCCACATCACTAAGTACTTGGTATCTTCAATTAGGGAAGCAATCATATTCTCTTCTCCCAATTTATATGACTGTGATCTGTGGCAATTAAAAAGCATTAGCAACAATTAGTGCTCAAAGACTGTTGACCAAATTTCATTTGGTACCAATTCAACAGCAACCAATAACAAAACAAATGCCTTCGTATATTTTTGATGTTAGTTTAAAATCATAATGTTTGAAATTTCTTTCTATTATTTTTTATCATTATTACTCTCATACCATCTTAAAATTGTAATATTTACTTGATACATATTTTTGTCATTTTATACTGTTACATAGCAGTTCCACATCAGCATTTTGCTGCCATCTTACAACCGGCTTTATCAAATAAAGAATGTATGTACATATGTATGTATGTATGTATGTAAATAAGCTCAAAAGTGGAAAAGCTGTTGACCAAGAACTTAGAAGAACACCAAAACAATCATGCCCTAAATCAAAGAAGTAGAAATATTTCTTTTTTCCCTTAGGCCAAACCGAAGAAAGGATACTTGTCAGCCTCTCAGGGTTATGTTTGTCATTTGGTCAAAGAATTTCTAATCAAACCTAAGTAACCATGATAACTTGCAAGTACTCCTTGAAAATAGATTGTTTTTTGAGGATCTATTTGTAAGGAGTCCTCGCAAGTTGCTTGCCAAGATACTTGTCCTGCCAAGGTACTTGTCTTGGGTTGGGGGGGCGGGGTTGTCGCTTGCCCTGCCGGCTTTTCTTCCTTCTACGATTCCTTTTCTTTTTTTACCCAAAATAAGGGAGGGGGGCCCGGGCCCCTCTCCTTGATCCGCCACTGACTTGTCCAAACTCGTAGTAAATTTCTGATTATATTGCAAAGGTCACTAAAGCCAGAGGAAATTTTCCCACACACACGCACACATTTAAACAAGTCAGGCAGTTATGATTACTTACAGACTCAAAGCTCATCGCAAAGGACAAGGTTTCTGTCCCTTTCTTAAACGCAAAATCCCAACAAGTGAGAAAGATCTTCCTTCCGTACGTGTCTTAAATCGAT